AGGATTTTGACCCCCTAGTGGCCCATACTTGTCTCACTCCCTAACGCCTAACCATGACTCTGAAACACTGCCTGACTGCCTGTGGACTGCCCCTCCAATACCTCTGTGGAGACAGTTTCTCTACCGTACCCCTGGCTGTCCTGGAACTCGCTCTGTAGACGAAGCTAGCGTTGGACTTAGAGATTGGCTTGCCTTAGGTGTGTGTCACCATGCCCAGTTTCAGTGTATTTAATATACTCTATTTCTGCCTTTTTTCTGTGTTGGTGAATTCTTTCACAGCCAGCTCTTTATCAGCTTGTCAACACCATCTCTAGCAGGCAGCCTTCTGAGAGTTAAACACTCTTCTTGCAGTCTTGGAAAGAATATCTCTTTATAAAGTATATTATAAGTGAGATTTTTTACAATTATCATCTTAGCTGGGCCCGGTGCATGTACCTGTGGTCTTCCATATGGGCTTCAGAGACTTGGTGGCTCACAGAAGAAATCAAGTCACTGTAACTTTGTGATTCAGGTGCCTTATTTTAGGCATAAAGTTAGAATTTTAGACTTCATTATTTTTGCTCCTAGCAACATGTTATCATCATTGCTTCCAAGTATTTTAAAATTCAAAAGCAAAGTGGTTGTGTTCATAACTCAGTGACATTGTTGCATTGAGAAAATTTCAGTGGAAAAAAAGTTCTTTCCAAGAGAGTATTTCACAGTCTCACTTTGTGTGTCAGATAAAGACCAAGTTATCATTTCTAGCATGTGTTTCTTCTGGAAGGTACTACGCTGCAGACACAATAATCTTATTTCCCCATAAAAGCTGTAGAAAGAGCCAATCCATTGTCTCCTATTTAATGAAAGACTCATCTAAATATAGATATTTTGTATTAATGTTTTCACATTAAAAGGTCAATATCAATATTAATAAGCTAATAACAATCACTGCCATCCTCTGGGTACTTAACATGGGGCAATTTCTGTACATTTGTTCTCTACTTTAAAACAACTCAATGGCCAAGTGGCGGTGGTGCATGCCTTTAATCCCAGCTCTTGGGAGGCAGAGCCTGGCAGATCTCTGTGAGTTCGAGGCCAGCCTGGTCTACAGAGTGAGATCCAGGACAGGCACCAAAACTACACAGAGACACCCTGTCTCAAAAAACCAAACAAACAAAACAAAAAACAACAAAGAAAGCAAACCAACAACTCAATATAATAGTAACAGCTAACATTTAGAACTTATTTTCTACATGTAGGTATTTTTCTACATACCTCCATGCCCCCATCGTTTCTATAGACCAGGCTGGGTCTCAAACTCAGAGATCTGCCTGCCCTTGCCTCCCAAGTGTTGGGACTAAAGGTGTGCACTGAAAAGAAAGGTGCTGCTTTTGAGTACACTTTGGAGAGGTTCACATGGCAAGGAACTGTCCAACAACCAACAAAGAACTCACGTCTCCCAGTTTCCATGTGAATGAATAAATGTGGACATTGATCTTTTCCAAGTGAACCTTCAGATGAATGGAAATTTCACTCAACAGTGTCCTCATAAGAAATCTTGAGCCAGACACCCTGAAGTAAACTGTCTGATGTAGTAACCTATAAAAACTTCAGGTAATATGTTTGTTGTTTCAAAGCTCTAAATTGTGGGGTAATAGATAAGCAAAAACAATAGTAGTCATTGTTATTTTAATATTTCATATACATACATTTATACCCATGTATTTGATAGGTCTGATGTATTTCTGAAGTGAGTACAGACAATTTTATATAGCCTTGGCATCCTAAGTTTAGCATCCTCATAGCAGAAGCAGCCCTCGGTCACCCTTGACCGAGTCTCTAGTAGACCCCGCCAGCATGGAGCCAGCTGGTGGCCAGAGATAAACCTCTGAGGCGTCTCTTGCAGCTCCCAGGCTGGAATCCCTGCTTTCCCACCACTTCTGTTTAAAGGGGTCGTTCACCATTTGCCCAAGAACTCCAAGCAGCCATCCTTCAGTTACAGCATGATCTGGAGCTTGCCTGCCTGCTTTGTTTTTTACTTTTGTTTTTGTTGCTATTTTGAGACAACATCTTGCCATGTATCTTGCCAGCCTCAACTTTGCCATCCTCTTGCCTCATTCACCTGAGTGCTGGGATTACAACTGTGCATTACCAAACCCAGGTGCCTGTTTGCCTTAAACCCACCAACTGAAGCTCCTCCAGGGAAAACAATTGGACAGTGCCCGGGACACAATGAAGATATTAAATGCCCTAGTTCCCACTGCTTATTCTCTGAGTATTTTGTAGCTTTCTTTAGAACCAAGGACAAGGATTAACAAATGGGATTGCATCAGATTAAAATGGTTCTGAACAGGGGCTGGAGAGACGGCTCAGTGGTTAAGAGCACTGTCTGCTCTTCCAGGTGACCCAGGTTCAATTCCCAGCACCCACATGGCAGCTCACACCCATCTATAACTCCAGTTCCAGGGCTTCTGACACTCTCACACAGACAGACATACATGCAGGCAAAACACCAATGAACATAAAATAAAAATAACTTATAAAAAAGGTTCTAAACAATGAAGGAAACAGTTGACAGTGGGAAGAGAAAGCCGACAGAATGGGAGGCAAATCTATGTCAGATATTCATCAGACATAGGATTATGTCCAGAATATATAGATAACTAAAAAATTAAACACAAAACAGCAAACTATCCAACCAACAAATTGCATATAAATTAAACATATCAAAAGAAGAATTATAAATGGCTAATAAATACATTTTAAAGTGCTCAGGATCTTTAGCCAGACCTGGTCAGAATGACTAACACATTAATAATCAAAGAAACAGATAACAAAAAGCCAGGCATGGTAACCACACCTGTAATCGAAGCATTGGGGAGGTAGCCTGCTTGAGCTATGGAGTAAGACCTTATTTCAAAAAGCTAAGAACAAAAAAGAAGAGGAAAAATGCTCAACAATGGCAAGGATGGAAAAGGCATGGACTTTTATACACTGTTAAGAGGAATGTAAGTTATTGTAGACTCTATGGAAATGAGTAGATGAGCATGGAGGTTCGTAATGGCTTGGATGAAAATGGCCTTCATAGGCTCTTGCGTTTGAATACTTGGTCCCCAGTTGGTGAGCTGTTTTAGAAGATTTAGGAGGTGTGATCTGGTTAGAGGTGTGTCACTGGGTGGGCTTGAGGGTTCACTCTCCCACGCCAGACACAGTCTCTCTCTGCCTCCTGCTAGTGGATCAGGATATAAGCTCTCAGACACTGCTCCAGCATCATGTCAGCCTGCCTCCTGCCGTGGTCCTGCCATGATAGTTATCGACTAACTCTCCAAAACCTACAACAAGACCCAAATTAAATGTTTTCTTTTATGAGTTGCCTTGGTTGTGATGTCTCTCCACAGCAATATAACAGTAATTAAGGATTCCCAAACAAACCCTAAGAATAAACTACTGCAAGATCCACTTATACCATTCCTGGGTATAAACCTAAAAGTATCAAAGACAGCATATAGCAGAGATACCTACACACTGTGTTCACTGTGGCAGCATGCACAATAGCCAAGCTATGTAATCAGCCTATGAGCTGTTGAATGAATAAAGTCATTAAAACACACACACACACACACACACATACACACACACACACACACACACACACACACACACACACACACACACATACACACGAGAGAGAGAGAGAGAGAGAGAGAGAGAGAGAGAGAGAGAGAGAGAGGAGAATTCAGCCATCAAGAATGAAATCATGTCATTTGTGGGGAAAATAAAAACTATCATGTGTCTTAGTCAATGTTCTGTTGCTGTGAAGAGACACCATGACCACTGAAACTTTTATAAAGAGAAGCATTTGATTGGGTCTTGTTTACAGTCCATTACCCTCATGGAGCGTGGTGGCAGGCAGGCAGACATGCTAGCTGAGAGTTGTACATCTGGGTCAGCAAACAGCAGGAAGAGAGAGGCACTGGGCCTGGCTTGAGCTTTTGAGACCCCAAAGCCCACTCCTAGTGACACACTTCCAGCAACAAGGCCACACCCACTCCAACAAGGCCACTTCCTAATCCTTGTCAAGTAACAGCCACTCCCTAGTGACCAAGCATTCAAATCTGTGAGTTTATCAAGCCATTCCTATCAAACCACCACATCAAGTTAAGCAAAGTAGGCCAGGCTCAGAAGGAAAAAAACTTCCTTTTTTCCCTTCATATGTAGATTCTAGATGATTAAGGGCTGGAGAGATGGCCCAGCAGTTAAGAGCATGAGCTCCTCTTCCAGAGGATCTGGCTTCAATTCCCAGCACCTACATGGCGGCTCACAATCATCTGTTGCTCCAGTTCCTGAGGTGCCAATGCCCTCTTTGGGCCTCCACAGGCACTGCTTACACATGGTACACAGATATACACAGGCAAAACACCCACAGACATAAAATAGTATAAAAACCTTGAAAATGCACCGGGTGGTGCTGGTGGCACACACCTTCAATCCCAGCACTCGGGAGGCAGAGGCAGGTGGATCTCTGCGAGTTTGAGGCCAGCCTGGGCTACAGAGCCAGTTCCCGGACAGCCAGAACTGTTTCACAGAGAAACTCTGTCTTGAAAAACCAGAAGAAAAAAAAGGGGGGGGGGGGAAGGAGAGGGGAGTAAGGAAGGAGGATCATTGAGAACAAAGCATGAATGAAAATGCAGCAATGAAACTCATCCCTTTATAGGTTAACTTTAAACAAGATGGTGAAATTGAGTTTTCTTCTTTCCCCAAAATCCTTTCTTTTTGTATTCTCACCCACCCCATCCCACCCTTTTTTTTTTTGTCCTTTCTGTAAGGAAAACTACATTGCTGTACTCTGGAGCTTCCAGCAGAGGGTGCATTTTAAGGCGGAGACTTCAGGATGTACATATAGTTCTACGTTAGCACCAGAAAGCTGGTCCTGTTGGGTTGCCAGCCTTGCACAGGGTCCAAATCCAGAAGGCCTTTGGCCCAGGAGTCGCCCAGGGACCAGTCTGGATACTGGGCGTTGCTACGCCTCCGGTTCCAGCCTCTGATTGGCTCTGAGAGGCCGACCCCTTGACCAATGAAGCTCGGGGGCGTTGTCCTGGGGGCGGATCCTCAGGCTCACGTGGTGCCTTCAGGGTCTCCCTCATCTGCGACCCTGGCTCTAGCCTCGGCTGCAGCTTCTGTTTCTTCCATTCTTCCACAGCGTCTTCGGGCCCCGACTGGACATGGCTTCGGCCACTATGGCAGCTGCAAGGAGAGCGCTCTGCCTGGCTGTCCCGTTTCTCCGGCGCGGTTACCAGACGGAGAGGGGCGTCTACGGCTACCGGCCTAGGAAGGCCGAGAGCAGCGAGCCCCCCGGCGACCGTGCACGCCCCTCAGGTTAGGGATGCGGCGGGACACTGTGGTGGAGGGCGGGGACCTACCTGTGCGGTTTGTGGTGAGGTGCTCTTGATTGTGGGTCCTGGGCACCTGGGAGCTTCTGGCCTGGGAAGGAGAGCAGCTTGGGAGAGCTGAGGAGACAGTAGGAGGAAGGCGTGGGAGTTGTCAGTGTCGAGGTCACCCCACCCTCTAGCTTCCACAGTTGGGCACCCCTGGGCTTTGTTTCCACGTAGTCTCCCTGTCTTTCTTGTTGGGTCCTAGATTGGGGACAGCTTCTCTTTTCCATTCCTCACCCATCAACAAGTGGGGATTTAGCCCTTTTGGAGATGGGTCTGTGGAAGGAGACACAGTTCCAAGATCTCCCAGCTCTTAACCGGATGACATATTTCCAGGGCCAGCTAAACATACAGATGACGTCTCTGTGCTACTTGCAGGAGGGCAGTTGGCACATGATCCTAGACAACAGTGGTACTTTTTGTCCCTTGGATCTAGCTAGCCTTTCACTTTATTTGCGATTTAAAACTCTGCTGAATTCGCAACCATGTGGCTGGGGTGTTTTGACGTATTAGCCAACGTGAATATCAGTTTTTGGAACTATGTTGCAGCCTCGTGTCCAAGAATAATTTCGAGTATTCGCTACAAAGTTAAGTTATTCTTTCATTATTTGTTCTCATACAGTAGAAAAATGCAGGTAATTGGAGAAAACTGTTGGCATCTTTAAAAAATTTTTGCATTTACTTGTTTGTTATTTACCTTTCATATTTATTTATGTGATATATATATATATATATATATATATATATATATATATATATATATATATATATATATATATATAACATGTGCATGCCTGGTGTCCACAGAAGGCATTGGATTCCCTGGAACTGGAGGTACAGATGATTGTGAGCCAGCATGTGGGTGCTGAGAATCTAACCCCGGTCCCTTGCAACTATGCTTTTAACTACTCAGCCATTTCTCCAGCCCCAATTAGCTTCTTGTTTGTTTGAAACAGGGTCTCATTATGGAATCTTGACTGGTGTGGAACTTGTGTAGACCAAGCTGGCCTCAAACTCAGATCTGCCTGCCTCTGCCTCCTAAGCTCTGGAACTAAAGGTGTGTGCCACTCCCACCCCAAATTGGTATCTTTGATCCTAATGTTAATGTTGACAATCCCCTCTATCAGGCTTGGTACGTGCCTTTAATCCTATCACTGGAGAGGCAAAGGTAACTTGGGTCTCTGTGAGTCCAACGCCATCCTGTGTCACATAGCAAGTCCCAGTTGGGGCTACATGGGGAGGCCCTGTTTCCACTATAACAAAAACAAGCAAACAAATCCTCACACTTTAAAAAAGCGCTTGACCAGACCCTTTGACTCTTCACACATTGGAACCTTAGTTATTTTGCTCTTTATCTTCGGACCATTGAAAATATACCTCATATCTCTCTTTTGTGTAGCCCTGACTGTCCTGGAACTCACTCTGTAAAGCAGGCTGGACTCGACCTCAGAGATCCACCTGCCTCTGCCTGAGTGCTGGTATTAAAAGTATGGGCCACCACACCTAGTTGTAGTCGAATTTTTTTAGGGAAAGCATTTTGACCACCTAGATTGTTAATTCTGGCTTTGCAAGGCTATAGATATTTTCTTTCCCATTGCAAATTCGGTGTGTAGAATTTTTTCTGTGTTGTTCAAACCGATAACCGTACTTGCTGAGCTATTCCTCAGCTCCCTATAATTCCTACCCGTTATTCTTAAACTTATATGTCTATTAACAGTGATTTTGGTGCTTAGAATGCCAGTTCCTTACTCTGGATCTTTTCTCTTTACCCTGATTCATTGACCTTATATGAGGTTCAGAAACATGAACACCTCTCCCCTTTTCTCTTTATAGTGTTGGAGATCAAACTGAGGGCCTTGTGCATGCTAGGCAAACTCTGTACCACTTAGCTGCATATCCCCTCAACCTAGGAATTATGTGAGTGTGTGTGTCTGTCCACCTTTGGCTAGTCATCAGGGATATATGTTGTATGTTAAGGGACAAAACCTTTAAGGTTGTTTGTGGACACTCGATGTACAGCTACTGTGATTGCCTTTGGGCTTTTCTTTCACATCCTACTGACCTAATGAATTATGCTTGTCATGGAAAAACCTAGGCTAATAGTTACTATTTGGAAAATTATTTGAGAATCACTTTGGGGACTTCAGGCTGGTATGGTTAGAAAAATATCTCTGGAGTTGATTTTATGTATAAGCCCTTCTGTCTTCCCTTATCATCAGATGGCTTTCCACGTCCTCCTAACAGAGAACTTGCTTTATTATGAGATACCTGGTAACATCTGAAAGTTCAGTGTTGAATTATAACTTCAGGTCATGGGTATGACCTTATGTGGGTTAGGGACACTGTGAAGGAAGAGCAAAGTCAATGATGGACACAGTTATTTGTGTCACAGTTGCAGTATCTGGCTTAAGGAATTTTGTTGGGAAGGATAATAATGTTTTTTACTCTCTTAATCAGTTGCTATGCAAGTATAATCTTGCCGGGTGGTGGTGGCATATACCTTTAATCCCAGCACCTGGGGGAGGCGGAGGTAGGCGGATCTCTGTGAGTTTGAGGCCAACCTGGTCTACAAAGAGAGTTCCAGGATAGCCAGGACTGTTACACAGAGAAACCCTGTCTCAAACAACAACAACAACAAAGAGAGTGCAATCTGGATTAAGATCCAGAGGAATGATTTTCTATTATGGATCATGTATTTAACTTTGGGGTATTTATAAAATAAAAGACAAACCCTTCTGGAAATGGACATTTTGACACTTCAGAAGTGACACAGTGGTCAAGCTGGTGACACATGCCTGTAATTAATTCACAGGCTGAAATAAGAGGATGACAAGTTCAAGGCCAGCCTAGCAGGGTTGTGTCTTAAAGGAAAAGCACCAAGAGAGAACGAAGTGAAGGCTGCTCAAGGCTACACAGCCTCGATCCCTTTTGTTACCCTTCAAATGTTTGTCTTGGTTAAGTCAGTTCCTCCCTAAGGTGCCCATGCCGTTCGCTAAGCCTTCCTTTGTACGGAGGATTTAAGGAAATATTCAGTTTGCCTTTAGAAACCTCTTGGATTGAGGTGATTGTTAGTGTTTTCAGCAGTTAAACTTTGACCCAGGCTGAGTATTTTTTTGTAGTTTACTCTTGGTAATGGCTTGTACTTTAGCCTCTGGAAACCTTAGTTGCTAAGTCATTTTATTATATTGTGCTTGGTATCAAACCTAGAATATTATGCATCAGTTTTGGTTTTATTTGCTTAAATTCCCAATTTGCAGTGGAGGTGAGGTTAAGAGTAGTGATTCTCACATATAAATCTTATCCTGAAGGATTGTAGATTTATTTATTTATTTATTTTGGTTTTTCAAGACAAGGTTTTTCTATGTAGCCCTGACTGTCCTGGAACTCACAGAGATCCTCCTGCCTCTGCCTCCTAAGTGCTGGAATTAAAGGCGTGAGCCACCACCGTCTGATTATTGTATTTTATTTTTTTAGCATCTTTCAAAAACTGTGTTGGAAGCCAAGTCGTGGTGGCGCACGCCTTTGATCCCAGCACTCGGGAGGCAGAGGCAGGTGGATCTCTCTGAGTTGGAGGCCAGCCTAGTCTACAGAGTGAGTTCCAGGACATCCAGGGCTACACAGAGAAACCCTACCACCAAAAAACAAAGAACAAAAGACTGTGGTTACTTTTCTTATTTACATTACAAGGTACATGACAGAAACAGGTCAAAGGAGGAGGGTTTATTTTGGCTCCCGTTTCAGGGGAGACAGTCCATTTTGGAGGGAAGGCATGGCAACTGGACAGCACCATAGCAGCAGGAGTATGAGGTGGCCACTGCTTACGTCTTGCTGGATCAGGAAGCAGTGACTCTGACTCTAAAGGCTTGGCCCAACGGGCCTACATCCACCAACACTAGTCCCCATAGCCCAGATGCTCTATTCTCTCTCCAAACAGCACTACCTGCTAGGAACAACATGTTCAGATACATAAACCCATAGGGAACATTTCCCATTCAACCTGTAACAGAGACCTTCAAGAGATGGAAGCCATTGGATTCTAAACCAAGGCTGGTGGTTACTTGTTACTCAGTGACAAGTGTCTCTGTCACTGAGCTCTGATAGTTGAAGTGAGGTTGTGTGTGGTATTGTATTCCCCCAAATATTGTGCATGCTAATAAACTTATCTGGGGTCAGAGACCAAGCAGCCACAATATTAAACATGAGGATAGGCAGTGGTAGCACACGCCTTTAATCCTAGCATTCCAGAGGCAGAGATCCATGTGTTCAAAGATACAGCCATGGTGACTCACGCCTTTAATCCCAGAAAGCGAGCCTTTAATCCCAGGGAGTGATGGTAGAAAGCAGAAAGGCATGAGGACCAGAAACTAGAAACGTTTGGCCTGGTTAAGCATTTGGCTGGTTAAGCTTTCAGGCTTCTAGCAGCACAGTTCAGCTGAGAGCCATTCGGATATGAGGACTCAGAGGCCTCCAGTCTGAGGAAACAAGACCAGCTGAGGATCCGGTGAGGTGAGGTAGCTGTGGCTTGTTCTGTCTCTCTGACCTTCCAGTGTTCACCCCATTACCTGACTCAGGTTTGATTTTATTAATAAGACTCTCTAAGATTCATGCTACAGTTGTGGGGGTGTTGTGTATTACAACTCACCGGGGCCTTTATTGGAATTGTAAAGAAATAGTTTGAAAAAACTGAGAGCGTTAGTGATTTTCAAAACTGTAGAAAATTCTAAAATACTAATGCAGATGCAAAAAGTATACAACTTTAGCCCTTGTACTTAAAAAGACGGCTTACTGATTTGGTTCTCTCATCATTATTTTCTGTAGGTGCAAGACAACCCTCTTCAACTTTGCTGTAACAGATGAAGGGATGGGGATTGGCCTCAGTGCCAGAATGCCTGCTTAGTATGCTTGGGGCTCTAGGTTTTTGTCTCAAGGAAAAAAGTGTGTGTGTGTGTGTGTGTGTGTGTGCGCGCGCATAATGGAACGTTGAAGTCAAATATACTTATGTTCAAATTCCAGCTTCTTTATTACCAGTGTCACTTTTTAGAAATTACTTAACCTAACTGGGAGGTGGTGGTGTAGAGGTGATGTCGCGTACCTTTAATCCTAGCGCTTGGGACGCAGAGAACTCAGGGATCTCTGAGTTTGAGACCAGCCATGGCTACACAGAGAAACCCTGTCTCAAAAGGCAAAACAAACAAACAAACGTGTCAAACATGGTAGTACATGCCTACAATCCTAGCACTTGAAAAGTTGACGCCTCCTAAAAAACCAGTCTGGATATGAGGGGAGGAGGCACATACTGCCCACAGAGACCAGAAGAGGGTGTCAGATCTGCTGGGACTAGAGTTGAAGGCTGTGAACTGCCATGTGAGTGCTGGGAATTGAACCAGGGTTCTCTGGAAAAGCAGCCTGTACTTTTAACTACTAAGCCATCTCCCCTGTGCCTGACTTTTAATTAAAATACCAAGTTTAGTTTAAATTAGCTGATAGTGTACTTCATGCTGGCTAACTTGGCATTTTCCTTCTTGAAACAGCACTGTGGTCAGTATGCCTCACTACCATTTTTATTTATAGTAAACAACAAAGTAATCAATGTAGATTGATGTTTTTACCATAGTCTTTTGTAAACATTTTTGTTTTCGACAAGTTTCTGTCAGTCACAAGCAACAGAGCCCAGCTCTGGCTATCTTAAGCAAAGAATGCTATCTGAAAACTACAAGGATGTCTCCTCAAACTAGAGGACATGTTCAGCAGTTAAGGCTCAGAAAGGGAGCTGGGCAGTGGTGGCACACGCCTTTAATCCCAGCACTCGGGAGGCAGAGCCAGGTGGATCTTTGTGAGTTTGAGGCCAGCCTGGTCTACAGAGCGAGCTCCAGGAAAGGCGCAAAGCTACACAGAGAAACCCTGTCTCAAAAAACAAAAAATAAAAAAAGACTCAGGAAGGGAACAAACCAGAGCCATCTGTGGCCATATGGCATACTGTGGACCTGCCTAGCTGCCTGAGTGATGCAAAGATGTCCTCTGATGTTATCATCCCTGCTCTCTTCTCACTGTGCCTGATGCATGTGAAGAGGCGAACACATGGAATACAGCCTGAAGCATTTGTATTTCTGGGAAGCCATTCCATGGCTGTAATTGTTCATAAAACAGACATTTGAAAAGCTTTGATTTTTGAGACGGGGCTCACTATGTAACTCTGACTGTTCTGGAACTCACAGAAAGTCATTTCCTCTCCCTCCGAGTGTTGGGATCAAAGGCATGTATCACCGCATCAGCCTGACTTTACTTGTTTTAATGAATGAAAAAACTATTTATTTAGGTGCTGGGATTAATCAAGGGCCTCACACATGCTAGCCAAGTTCTCTTCCACTGAGCTGTAGTCCCGTTCCCTGGTCTATATGTGCTTTGCTTACTGTGTAGGTCAGGCTGTGCTGGACCTCACTGTGTAGTCCAGCATGGCCTTGAACTCATAGCAATCCTTCAGAATGCCTGGATTGCAGATGTGAGCCACTATGGCCAGCTTATCTGTAGTTTTGCACTATGTGAGTGACAAGATAATTAAGGTTCTTTCTTTGTCTACAGTTTTATAAAATAACTATGTCTGGAGTCTATAAGAAGAGAGCCAGTAAGATGGCTTATGGGACATATGTGCTTGCTGCCCAGCCTGAGCACCTGAATGTGGCCCCTGGAACTGACACGGTAAAAGGAGAGAACAGATTTCTGCAAGTTGTCCTCTTACTTTCACATGCATGCATGCATGTGCCTCTTGCCAAAATAATAAATGCACATTTTTTAACAAGGGACATATGAGGTTGGGTATTTGGCCTTAACAAATGTGAGGCCCTGGATTTTTTTGTTCCCAGCACTGAGCAGGGGATAAAGGAAATGTAACATTGATTTGGGGGTTTTATCTAGCTTTATTATTGCTGTTGTTTTTGTTTGTTTGTTTGAGACAGGGTCTTACCATATAGCCCTGGCTGGCCTAGAACTTACCATGTAGGACTTAATCCATCTGCCTTTGACTCCTAAATTAAAGGCAGGTGTAACCCCCGACCAGAGAGAAAGATATATAGGTATAGATAGATATATAAATATAGATAGATAGATAAATATAGATAGTCTCATTTTGAATGAATGTATGAAGGTTTTGCCTGCATGTATGTATGTGCACTATGCATGTGCTTGGTGCCTGAAAGGGCCAGAAAAGGTCTCTGAGTCCCTGGAAACTGAAATTACAGATGGTTGTGAGCCGCCATGTTGATTTCGGTAGTTGAACCTGGTCCTCTGCAAGAGCAGCAAGTGTTCTTAGCTGTTGAGCCATCTCTCTAGCCCTGTTTTCTTGTTTGTTTGTTTGTTTGGTTAGTTGTTTGGTTTTTTTGAGACAGGGTCTCTCTGTGTAGCTGTCCTGGAATTCGCTCTGTAGATGGCCTTGAACTCACAGAGACCCGCAGGCCTCTGCCTCTACCTCCTGAGTGCCACCACACCCAACATTAGCCCTGTTTTTACTGTTCATTCTAAGATCTAAAAACACTAGCCAGGAAAGAAAGGGGACAATGTCTTTAATGTCAGGGTGGAAATAATGCTTCTCCGTTTCAGATGTTCTTTCCTAATGTTTATCACATGTGCAGTTATTATTACAAATATGCGCTCACGGTTCTAGCTCCTTCCTGTTTTCTTTTGTTTTGCTTCCTTGGACTTTAGCTACCATGAGATAAATTTAAGAAAGTAAGTGTGCTTACCTAGCATCTGACAGTCTTTAACCCTGAAATCCACTGGTGTTGTGAGTAGGAACTGTGAGGTAAATGTTTTTCTTCCATGGCAAGTGTCTCTGTAGTTTCTGAGCATCTCCTCAACTGTGCTATTTCATTCTTCCAATGTAGTTGATCATGCCCTTGCCAGGCTGGTGACAGTGTATTGTGAGCATGGCCACAAAGCTGCCCAGATCAACCCTCTCTTCCCTGGACAAGCCCTGCTGGATATTGTGCCTGAAATCCAAGCCCTCGTACAGACACTGCAGGGACCCTTCACTACCACAGGTAAGGCGGCACCTCCACGTGAGAGGGGAACTGTCAGATGAAGTGTCTTGTTCTGTTCTTGAAGAACTGGATGCCCTGGATGCATCAGGTGAAGGGACAAAGAAGGACACACTGAGTTGTCTTCACATAGGAGCTGTCTTGAAGTTCTAGAGTGGTCGTTTCTCTGGTTAAAAACATATCGAGCAGGTTGACAAGATGGTTCAGTGGGTAAAGGTGTCTGCCACCAAGTGGTATATACACAGCAGAAGGAGAGCTCCAGCTCCCAAAGTTTCCCTCTGACCATGTGTGATGGAATGTACACGTTGTCCCCCCATACATAATAACAGTATTTAAAAATCCAAGCCGGGCAGTGGTGGCCCACGTCTTTAATCCCAGCACTTGGGAGGCAGAGGTAGACCGATCTCTGTGAGTTCGAGGCCAGCCTGGTCTACAAAGTGAGTTCCAGGACAGGTTCCAAAGCTACACAGAGAAACCCTGTCTCAAAAAAAACCAAAAAAAAAAAAAAATCCAAACATATAGGTGCCAAACACTTTGCATATAGGATGCGGATTCATTTTCATAACTGCACCTAAAAGTCATTATTACCATATTTAGTTTAAATATAATGTCTTAGTTACTTTGCCAGGGCTGTGATAAAACACACTGACCAAAGCAGCTTACAGAAAGAAGGGTTTGTTTGGACTTGGGGTTCCAGAGAGATAAGAATCCATCACCATTACAGAGGGCAAGTGTGGCAGTAGGCAGCCATGAAGCTGGAGCAACAAGCTGTGAGCACCCATCAAGGAGTGGCATATGGCTTTGAAAATCTCAAAGCCCGCTCCTCGTGACATACTTCCTCCAGTGTGGTCTCCTAAACTATCCAAACAACACCGTTACCTGGGGACCAAGTATTCCAATGTTTGAACCTATGGGGATTTCCTCATTTAAACTACCACAGATGGAAACAGATTCAGAGAACTTAAGGAGTATGTAGGTGCTACATGGCAGAGGCAGGAAAACATCCTAGGTCTGATTTCATTCCAGAGCCTAAGCCCCCTCATTCCAACTTCTTTCCCAGCCTGGGCACTAAAACAACAACAAAACAAAACAAACAAAACATTGGGCCTGGATCACAAGTCATGGTGTTAGGGTTTTATCTCGTGTTACTTATATTATTTTATTAGTATTATTGTGGTGTAAGGATGAGATCTGGGATCCTGTGAATGCCAAGCAAGAGTTCTACCACTGAGATGTACTCCTATCCCAGGAGTTTCAAGTTTTAGTTTGAAATTACTATAGTATCAAAACTTGTATAATGTGATAGAGCTGTGTCCTTGAGAAGGTCCTCTCCCTATCTAGTTTTCTACCTATGGCCATCAACCATAATTTTAATTTTGCCTTTAGAAAAGGCCGAGATGGCTCAGAGGCTGTACCTCAGTGGCAGAGTACTTGCTTGTTATGTGAGGGATCCTGGATATAATTTTCCCCAATCTTTTTTTAAAGGAAATATGAATAATCATTGATAGCGATTCAGTTTGTAGTGGAGTGCTCAGAATTGAAGCAGTAACACTGTTTGTTCTGTTCCACAACTTATCTTCTGTGTGGTTGATTATTATTTGAAATGATCCCTTTGTTCTATTTCATAGGACTGTTGAACATGGACAAAGAAGAGGCTTCTCTTGAGGAAGTACTAGCCTATTTGAACCATGTCTACTGCGGGCCAATTTCTATTGAAACCACCCAGCTTCAGAGCCAGGAGGAAAAAGACTGGTTTGCCAGAAGGCTTGAGGAGCTGAAAAAGGAGACGTTTACCACAGAAGAGCGAAAATACCTGGCAAAACTATTGCTAGAATCTCAGGTATAAAAAGTATCAGCTAGGGGCTGAAGAGATGGCTCAGTGGTTAAGAGCACTTGCTGTTCTTCTAGAGGACCCAAGTTCAATTCCTGGCACCCACATGGTGCCTCACAAATATCTGTAATCCAGCTCCAGAGGATCCAATACCTATGGCCTCTGAGGGCACCGGCACTCATATGCACATACTGACATATAGATACACACAACTATAAAAATTAGAAATGGTAAAAACAAATGTAGAAATAAGTATTAGCTAATATTAGTGGACCAAGTCTTCTTCTCACTTCCTGCAAAGATAGTTAGCTACTGGAGAAAGGAAAGGAAGACGTTAGACCTTGCCCCTGGACCTCCCCATCGCTTCAGCACATCAGACTGAACAGCGCTTGACCCCAAGCAAAGTAGATCACCAGACATTTGAGCTGTTGGTTTTCCTCAGCATCAAAGTCTGCTAATGTTTTCCTATGCTTATTTTATAAAACTTAATAAAGTCCTTAAGACTGTACAGCTCCTTTTGTTTCCTGGAGAGATTGACAAACTGCTCAGCAGATGTTCTCAATGTCAGTTAGTGGAACCAAATCATCACCAGGGCTGTGGTAAGGGCTCAGGCACGTCAAACTGATAGGAAGCTGCTTCCCACCAGTTTGAGTAGTTGGATAGTGTTAGACCTTGGTTACATAATACCATAGAGCCTCTGTGAAAACTGATATGTTGGGCAAGGCAGCAGAAAGCTAAGCCTGGCCTCAAGTCTGGGAAAACAAATACATAAGGAGGTTGCTCCCAGATGCATGACTCTACCGCTCAGATTCTTCTCTTTACAGCTTCTTCTGTGTCAAGGGTCCTTAGCAGAGCTGTGCTATATCGTGATGCCTCTCTCGTGGATGTGTAGTGAAGGGACAGATATGACCACTGGAATAATGTGGGGCCTTCTTACAACACAGAACTTACCTTCCTTTCGTCCGAGCACTTGACTGTCTTCCAGCCGCTAATATGTCTGTTCCACAGGAGTTTGACCACTTTTTGGCCACCAAGTTTGCCACAGTGAAGAGATATGGAGGTGAAGGGGCCGAAAGCATGATGGGCTTTTTTCATGAGTTACTGAAATTGTCAGCCTATGGCGGTATAACTGATGTCATTATTGGGATGCCCCATAGAGGAAGGCTGAATTTGTTGACAGGCCTTCTGCAGCTGCCTCCAGAGGTAAGGTTCCTTTCTATGTCTTTTTTTGTTGTGGTTTGTTTGTTTGTTTTTAAAGTCCATATCTTTTTATAATAATTTTTTAGCTTTTTAAAAAATTATAATCCCATCATTTTCCCCCTTCCTTCTTCGCCTTTCATACCCACCCATGTACCTCCTTGTTCTCCTTCAAATTCATGGCCTCTTTTTCTCTATACACACCCTACCCTATACCACACTCCTACACTCCTAAATACATCAGACAACCTGTTCGGTCCGTATAATGTTACGTGGATGTATCTGATCTTAGGGCGAACCACTTGGTATTGCGTAACCAAATGGAGGCTCTTCCCTGAGGGAAGACCATTTCTCTCACACTCAGCATTCCTCAGCTGCCTGTAGTTCTTCGTGTCAGGTGGAGGGCCCTGGAGCTTCCCTCCTTCCATGTTAGCATGCCCACTGATGTTGGTTAGATCTTGTTTAGGTGGCCATATTGGGGAGACTTCATGGACGTAGCTTTTCTGATATCTCTAGAAGACTCTCTGTGGTTCTTGCCAGAGTAGGAGCGGAGCAGAATAAAACTGATGGTGGTAATTTCCTTTAGAAACTAATGGAGCCTATGAGCCGTAAGTGGGGAGATAGTTTAGTGAGTGGGTGGAACTCTATGCTGACAAGTAGAACTGAAGTTGACTTTTCTGTAATGTGCGCATGGATTCTTTCTTCTCCCAGGGAAATTAAAGGTTAGTTTGCTTCTTCAACATGCATGGTGGTCAAAGAATGATAAGCGAAGTTGTCCTTTGCCCTCCCCACCCCAACACATACACACACACACACACACACACACACACACACACACACACAGCACATAAAGAAAAAATAAAGTACCTGGTGGAGCACAGCACATTGTTATCGACAGTGTTGCCACAAAGCTTAGGTTCCGGCTACTGAAGAATTGGCCATGTCTCAGTTACCTTTCTGTTTCGGTGAAGAGACAGCATGACCAGGGCAACTTATAGAGGGATTTATTGGTGGCTTGCTTACAGTTTCAGAGGGTGAGTTTACAGCCATCATGGTGGGGAGCGAGGCAGCAGGCATACAGGCAGGAATGATGCTGGAGCAGTAGGTGAGAGCTTACATCTGACCCCCAAGCACAAGGCAGTGAGAAGACTAACTGGGAATGGCTTAGCTGTTGAAACCTCAAAGCCTACCCCCCAGTGACACACCTCCTCCAACAAGGACACGCCTCCTAATCCTTCCCAAATGATTCCATCAACTGGGGACCAAGCATTCGAATATGAGGCTACGGAAGCCACTCATTTAAACCACCACAGACCAACCATGGAAGCCAGAGGCAATGGCTTCAAGGGTCTAGAAGGCAGGGGACTTCATGGGAACATCCCATGTCCTACCCTCCAGTATGTCCTGGGTCCTTACAGCTGCCCCATCTTTTAGACCTAGGGGCAGGTTTGGACTTCTTAAAATATCCTTTCCCATGGTCAGATGCACTTGTTGCTGTGAAATAAACTAGCATCCTTGACCCAATTGCAGTGACTTTTGCTGAGACTGGCATGAAGGGCTGGCTGACCTGCCACCCATCAGGATTAGAGGGACAATGATTTAATGGCTGCTCCAGAAGCACTCCTCCACAAACCATATGGTGTGGGTGCCCTAGAGACTCCCAGAGGACTGATGATTTGAGTCCTCTTTACTGTCCCCTGCCCCTAGTACCAAATCCCCAAGATAATGGCTGCTGGACTAGAGCTGGTCTCTGGATGGCCTGGCTCACTGCATTTTCACTTCAGCACTACTGTTGTCATAGTGGCCTGCCTATTGGTCCTATTCATGTGGTACTATTACCCATGTGTGGAGAGTAGCCCTAGTACCATGCCTTGTTCAACTTGATCTTACAGAACATAGATACCAAAGGACTACATATTGATGCTATGTGCTCCTAGTGTTTACAGTGCATGGGATTCTCGGTCACATTGAGTACACTGTACTAAAGATCTTATCAGGGTGGGCATCTGAACCTGGGAGCAGGGTTCTCTATCCAGAAATCTGGGATCTTCTTTCTCTCTGACCTCTGGACCACACCTTACTTCTCCCAGGATGCCCAGAATCCCAATGTGAAGCTGATAGAGTGGAATTTTAGACTTTCTTCTATAGTATTCTCATAAGCATCTTCTCAAATTGAAGCCTCCCACCTGTTGGAAAGTGCACAGCACTCTCCACAGGGAGTGTTTCACCTTTTACTTTGTCAACCAGGGTGTTTGCATCCCTAGGAATTATCAGAAGTAGTATAGATGTACCACTGTATTAGAAACAGTGTTTTTGGGAAATGCATCTCTCTGTGCTGAGCCCCAAGGCTGTGATCACAGAGCACTGTAGACCCACCAACATCCATGGGTACTCCCTAGGTCTCAAGACTCAGTGTGTGTTAGCTGGAAGGGTGGGTGAATCAGTACTGAGCAGAAGGCAGCTGCTTGGTCTTTGACTCCTCCTTCCTTGTGTGATATGTGCCACAAAAGTTCAACCAACAATAACTGGGTTTTTGTGGTGGATCTGTGGTATCCCAATATCACAGCCACCAAGAAGGCCCTCAGCTTCATCTTTGGTCCAGGATAATGAGAACATTTCCAATGCTGGAGCCTGCAAGAGGGGCCCATATAGGCAGTCCAACCCAGAATCTTTGCTCAGAAACCAGCCTCAGCCAGGTGCTCTCCAGGAGGTTTCCTGTCATGACAGGGTCCTCTTTCCTTCTGTCAGAGAACATTTAGTGGGTGCTTCCTAAATTTATTTTCCCTCCCAGTTATTTGTTAGGATACTTTTCTAGCCTGCAGTGAGTTCCTTTGGCAGTGGGCAGGCTTCAGTGTTCTCAGTCCATGATACAGACCCATTTGATCTTTTTCAGTGTTCCAGAGCTAGTGACACCCAGGGAACCTTTCCTGTGTTAGAGCAGGGACAGCCTGTAGCCCACACTTCAGCTGGCTTTAGGAGAGGCCTAGACAACCTGTCGCCATCACTCCTAACTGAGACCTATGTGGGCTAGGGTACCAGGATACTTGACTGGAGGGACTTGGACCTTCCTATACAGCTGAAGGTGTTTGGAGAGCTGAGTAAGGGCTTCTGGGTCAGCCACAGAGTGTGGATCTGCTTGCCTCACTGCCTGCTGAAACCCTAATGCTTGAACAGGCCTGGGAATAACCCTTTGCTAGGCTTTGAGCCTACTAAAGTGTAGCTAGAGTTTTCCTGCCTGGCCCACGGTCAGGGCAGATCTCTCTCACCTGCCAGTCCCACAGCTGCTCAGACCTGACCAAGTAAACACAGAGACTTATATTGCTTACAAACTGTATTGCCATACCAGGCTTCTTGCTAACTGTTCTTACAGCTTAAATTAATCCATTTCTATAAATCTATACCTTGCCACGTGGCTCGTGGCTTACCGGCATCTTCACATGCTGTTTGTCATCGTGGTGGCTGGCAGTGTCTCTCTGACTCAGCCTTCCACTTCCCAGCTTTATTCTCCTCCTTGTCCCGCCTATATTTCCGCCTGACTACTGGCCAATCAGTGTTTTATTTACTAACCAATCAGAGCAACACATTTGCCATACAGAACATCCCACAGCACAAAAGTGTCTGGTGGAAACCACATTGCAGCTACATCTCAGGAAGTATTTTTCTAGCAGAAGGGTCCCAGATCTCACTAGAGTACCCACTGTGCTTTGGGATTGTGCTTCCTGTGAGTTTTTAATCTATCTGTACATAAATGTTCAAATGCAAGCTTCAGGGGCAGTGGAAGGGTCAATTGTGTGTCTCTGTCATTGTGCAGGTGACCCAAGCCAGTGTGTGTGTGGTGGGGGGAGAGAGAGAGGAACAGACAGACAAACAGACATAGACACAGAGAGAGACAGAGAAAGAGCAAACACAGGTGAGAACTACAAACTCTGAGGACTCATGGTCACTGCACTGGGTTTTTGGTCTCCTATAAAGACACACTGTTAGCATTGTGAACGAAAGGCCCAAGTTTAGCTGGTATGTGCGAGTGTCCCCTCCCCACCATCCTCAACGTCCTTTTGGGAATGGTGTCACATGGACAGTGTCTAGAGTAGAGTGAAGTCGGCAGGTCCTCGTATCTGCAGGACCCGTGTTAATTAATGTTCAGATTCCGCAAATAAGCAGAATCTAGTGGGAAAAGCTGTGAGGTCTGTACACGTTTGAGTGAGATGTGGCCCCCGGCTTTCTCAGTGATGAGGAGGGAGAAGGAGGCAGACACATGAGGCTCTTCTGCACTCATCATCTCAGTGGACATCCCAGAGGTGCATGGTCCCAACACATCCTAAGCACCCTGCACGTTCCCTCCAGGGACCTGCCTCCTGCGCTTGGGTGACATGACTGGAGAAGTGACATAAAGGAGTTTGCTGAAAACCCAGAAAAAAGAAGAGAAGAACTTAGAAAAAGGAGATATGGGCGGGGAGACGACCCAGCTGTTGAAGTGCTTGCTTGCAGCATGAGGACCTTATCACTCCAGAAGCCATGGGGAAAACCCAAGCAGCGTTTAAAACATAGTCAACGGGATCAAAATCTACTACTTCAGAATCAATAGCTTCTTTGAAGCCATAGTAGTGCTTTAATATGGTTAAGACTGCGGAAATTTCAAAGAAGAAATTTGGTTGGGTAGAAAGCTAATTAAAATTTCCACCTTCCTCAAACAGAGTTACAAAAAGACTAAATTGTGGTTTTTACAGAGATACAGATACAGTGGCTGGAATCACTGCTAATGATTACATATTTTAAAAGTTACATAAGGCAGAGGTAACTACTATTTATCTTGGGTTAGAGTCCTCTTAAAATATTGTTTCTAGAGTCTGGAGGAATGTATAGGTAGTTAAGAACCCATTTGCAGAAGACTTGAGTTTAGTTCTCAGTACCCATGGTGGTGGGCCCCAGGGAGTCTTACTGGAGTGTCTGGTGGAAACTACCTACCAGCCACATTTCAGGGAAGTGTTTCTCTGGCAGAAGAGTCAATTTTTTCTGGGCTCATGTGCACTTACACACAGGTACACATACATATATGCAACTAATTAACAATAAAAATAATGTAAAAAAATGGTGACACTCATTTGATTCTGAAGACCTCCAAGTAATTCTGAGTGACCCAGCAGTTAGAACTCTGTGCCTATCTTTGAATAATGCATGTTTATAATAACTATAAAAGAATGTACATAATACTTAACTTTCTTTAAGCTTACCTTAGACTCCACTGTAATAAGACTTGTTTGATACCAAATATGTTTGTTCTAATAGCTGATGTTCCGTAAAATGCGAGGCTTAAGCGAATTTCCAGAAAATGTCTCAGCCATTGGAGATGTCCTGTCCCACCTGACCTCCTCAGTGGATCTAGACTTTGGTGCCCACCGTCCCCTCCATGTGACGATGCTGCCCAATCCCTCACATTTGGAAGCTGTTAACCCCGTGGCTGTGGGGAAAACTCGTGGCAGGCAGCAGTCTCGGGAAGATGGTGACTACTCACTGCACAGTTCTGCTCAGCCCGGGGACAAAGTCATTTGCCTTAAGGTACTTGAGTTTGGAGAAGAGAGAAAGAGGAAACTAGAAATGATGTCTGGGTTGGGAGATGGAACAGGAGATTGCAGATGTTCAAGTGGAAAGTGAAGTGAAGTGACATTTTGAGAAAAGAGGATTCTGGGGCTTATTTGTTTTTTTTTTCTGAAAATTTCCACGATATGTTTATCATTTGCAGCAGGTTTAGAAAAAAACTCCCCACCCCACCCACCTTGTCTACCAAGTTTCATGGTGATATTTTAATCTAGCAGCTTTGAATATTCTAAAAGATTAGCATATTTTAGACATCCTTTCATAATAACATTTTGATTTTCTAAATAGTACTCTTCTACTTATATGTGATTGTCTTTCTTCCTGCACGTTGGCTTTCCTGTATGCCATCACCTTACTCTCTTATATTCATGATAGCAGGCAGGATTCGGAGGAGTTGGGAGCTACTTCTCTCTGTCTCCTTTCACGGGTGAGTGACGGGGGAGAGGAAGAGTTCAGAGGTGTGCACTGTTCTTCCTAGACTTTCTGTGTGTGATGTGTGTGGGTGTATGCATGCCACAATATGCGTGTGGCGGTCAGAGGACAATTTTGTGGAGTCAGTTCTGCCTTTCTACCTTTATCCGGGCTCCAAAGATCCAACTCAGGTTTGTGAGGAAAGGACTTTTACCCCCTGTGTCATCTCATGCTCCTGTTTCTCATACCGTAAAGCTATTTTCACGCAAAATTTCCTAGAGCTGAAGCTGGACCTGTAGCTCAGTGCTTGCCTAGGAGGCATGAGACCCTGGGTTCAATCCCTAGCACAGAAAAAAAATTCCCTAGAATGATGCTTTCACTGGATATGTAGTAGCCATTCCTCCCGTGGTGCTGCTGTAGAAGCTAGGATGCTTGTGGAAGTGAGGAGTCAGATTCGGGGTGGGGTGGATAAAGTGGTACAGTGTTAACAAGGAGAAATGATAAGGTATCTTTGAAAAGTGCTGTGAGATGAGTTTAAACATCCTGAAGTTTTAAAGTCCTCAAACCTACATATTTTTAGGTCTGGAGAGTCATGAGACAGTGGTTGTTGGTATTCCTATTAGTATTTTTTTTTTTTTTTTTTTTTTTTTTTGGTTTTTCGAGACAGGGTTTCTCTGTGTAGCTTTGTGCCTTTCCTGGAACTCACTTGGTAGCCCAGGCTGGCCTCGAACTCACAGAGATCCGCCTGGCTCTGCCTCCCGAGTGCTGGGATTAAAGGCGTGCGCCACCACCGCCCGGCCCCTATTAGTATTTTAAAACAGTCTATTTCAATCAGAAAACCCAAGCTTATTAATTCCTTATTTTCTCCATCTCACACACGTTTTAGGTTCATGGTGATGCTTCCTTCTGTGGTCAAGGGATTGTTCTTGAAACCTTCACGCTCTCTAATCTCCCACATTTCAGAATTGGTGGGAGTATCCATCTAATAGTCAATAACCAGCTGGGTTACACCACGCCAGCAGAAAGAGGAAGGTCTTCCTTATACAGCAGTGATATTGGTATGTAGCACATTAGACTTGGCATTGCTATGTTAGTCAGACCAGGAATTTGCAGAGAAACTTCTAGTTCATTTAGAACAATGAGTCTTGCTTGTTATCCCATTTTAATTCCTGGAGATTGTTATTATGTAAACCAGGTTGGCCTGGAACTCAGAGATCCACCTGCCTCTCCCTCCCTGTCTTAGTTATTGTTCTAGTGCTGTGAAGATACACCATGACCAAGGTAACTTATAAAAGAAAGTGCTTAACTAGGGCCTTGCTTACCGTTTCAGATGGTGAGTCCACGACCAGCATGGCCGGACTCATGACAGGTGGCAGGTGGGCATGGTGCTGGAGCAGTAGCTGAGAGCTCACATCTGACCCACAAGCATGTGGCAGAGAGAGTGAGAGACTGGGCCTGGCTTTTGAAACTTCAAAGCCCACCTCTAGTGACAAACCTTTTCAACAAGGCCACACTTGCTAATCCTCCCTAAACAGTTCACCAACTGGGAATCAAACACTGAAACATATGCGCCTTTCTCATTCAAACCACCACACTCTCAAGTGCTGGAATTAAAGGTGTGTGCCACCACTACCAGCCATTTTAACTTTTTGAAGTTAGATATGGTCAGTGGTTGCCAAAAGTTACCGAATTAACATTCATTTTTTTTCAGTTTGAGTATGCTATTTATTTATTTCATATAATATTAGTTGAACACAAGGCATCGTGAATGGTACGCAAGCACACTACCACAGAACTGCATTAGAGTGTTACACATACTAGACAAGCACCTTTCCACAGAGCTACAGTTCAGCCTCAACTGTCAGCTTTTAATCAAAGAATATTAGACAAGGATGGCGCCGAGAGTATTCGATCCCATATTGCTTACATAGTCAGTTGGTTTATCTGGTAGAAACCAAAGAGCAGTGCCATTGGTACAATACTAGAGTAATTACTTTTGGACTATTCAATCTTAGAGTGCTCAGAGTCTCAGTAAAAAAGGCTGTGTTCACTCAGTAACTTTGCTAAAGTAGTCTAGTTGGAAATAAGTTGTAGCCAGGCAGTGCTGGCTCACGCTTTTAATCCCAGCACTTGGGAGTCAGAGGCAGTTGGATCTCTGTGAGTTCAAGTCCAGCCCAGTCTATGAGAGTTCTAGGACAGGCAGGGTTACACAGAGAAACCCTGTCTCAAAACAAACAAACAAACAAAAAGTTGTAGAGGATCAAAGTCAACTTATTTGAATCTGTGGAAATAACATCTTAGCACAAGTCAGGACTTTCATTGTCCACCCATAGTTCACAAACTGTTATAGGCACTGTCAGACAGTTCTGTAACTAGAGTCTGGACTGGGTGCCTTTTAAATTGTTTGACACAGGGAAGATACTTTCCAGAACTCTCTTGGGAGAAAAACTTTTCCTAGGATTCATGCTTTAATGACCTTTTGTCTCATGAAGGAAGATAATCATAATGATAACAATAACAAAATATGTGATAACTGTCATTGTATAAGGCACTTTCAAACACTGACACTATATTCCTTTGTTCCTTGACAATGTCACTCAGAGTCCAGACTAGACTCTTTTGTAATTTATTTTTGAATTTTTTTTTTTTTTTTTTTGGTTTTTCGAGACAGGGTTTCTCTGTGTAGCTTTGCGCCTTTCCTGGTACTCGCTTTGGAGACCAGGCTGGCCTCGAACTCACAGAGATCCGCCTGGCTCTGCCTCCCGAGTGCTGGGATTAAAGGCGTGCGCCACCACCGCCCGGCTATTTTTGAATTTTTATCTTATTTTTATTGTATGTATATGGGTGTTTTGCCTGATTGTATGTCTGTGCACCATGTGCATGCAGCAACTGAGGAGACCAAAAGAGAGTGTTGGGTCTCACTGAGACTGGCATTACAGACAGTGTGAGCTACTGTGTGGGTGCTGGGACTCAAACCCAGGTCCTCTGGAAGAGCAGTCAGTGCTCTTAACCATGCTCTCTAGCTTCTAGACTGAGATTTTGACCTTTTCCAAGGTCACACAGTTAGTCATAGAGCTGAGTTTAGTCAGCTGAACTCCAAAACTTGCTTTTTTTTTTTTTGAGACAAGGTTTCTCTGTAACAGCCCTGGCTGTCCTGGAACTTGCTTTGTAGGCCAGGCTATCCTCCAACTCACAGAGATCCACCTGCCTCTGCCTCCCAAGTGCTGGGATCAAAGGCGTGCGCCACCATCCTACCACCACCCAGCTTGCATTCTTAACACCCAGGCTAAACTACCTCTGCATTACAGGGCTGTCTTCCCACTTAGGCAAGTAGGTCTTGGGAAATGGCTAATATTAGCCCATGTTAACTGGCCGTTTTTATCTTGGTCTTACCTTCTTTAGGAAAGGTGGTAGGCTGTGCCATCATCCACGTCAATGGAGACAGTCCAGAGGAAGTGGTTCGAGCCACACGACTTGCTTTTGAGTATCAGCGCCAATTCCGAAAGGATGTAATTATTGATTTGTTGTGCTATAGGCAGTGGGGTCATAATGAGCTGGATGAACCTTTTTTCACCAACCCCGTCATGTACAAAATCATCAGGTACCGTTAGAATCTTCCTCTAATATACAAGCTAACTTCCTCCTCCTCGTCCTCAGTCAATCAAGCAGTCGTCATTTTTTGTGGTAGTGGAAATTCAAATGAGAGCCATGTGCATGCTAGGCGTGTGTGTGTGTGTGTGTGTGTGTGTGTGTGTGTGTGTGTGTGTGTGTGTGTGTGTGTAGGTCAGAGGACAACTTGTGGTGGTTGGTTCTCTCCATGTTGGTCCTTTGGAACAAACCCAGGTGCCCATATCAGTGGAGCCATTTTGCCAGCCTGTGTCCCCACTGTTGTCGTCTTTTGTGTTTTGTTTTATTGTTGTTGTTGTTTTGCTCTGTAGTCCAGGCTGGCCTCAAACTCACAGAGATCCACCTGCCTCTGCCTCCCAAGTGCTGGAATTAAAGGTGTGTGTCACCACCACCTGGCTCCATTACCTTCTGATGGATACTTGGAAGTGGGACAAACAGCTAAACTGTGCCTGTCCTATAGAAACCAGAGTGGTCATCTTACAAGGCTCAGAGTGCCCCATATTCTTCATACTTCATGTCTCCTCATTAAGTAGAGAATGGACAACTCTACTTACTTAGCAGATAGCAAGACTTAGGTAAGAGGACTGAGTAAAACCTTGCTTGAAGCTAGTTAGTAATACTCTGGCAGGATTAGGAGTAGGACTTCCATGATTCATTTCTTTAAACTGTACCCAAGGACCTGCTTCTACCTTAAGAGGAAATAGCTTGAGAAATTGTTTTTTAATTTGTGTGTGGGTAGGTTGGGGAGAGAAGTAGAGTCATCTAAAGGAATGCCACTTATCTCCTTTGACACAGGATTTTTTAGTGGCCTAGAGTTTACCAATTAGATTAGACTAGCTAGCATCCACAGCAGTTTTATTTAATTTTATTTATGTGTGTTTGTTTATCTGTGTGAATATGTATACACATGTGTGTGAGCAGGTTCCCACAGGTGTCTTGTTCCTTAGAGCTGGAGTTACAGGCATTTGTGAGCCACCTGACATGGATGCTGAGATCTGAACTCAGATCCTCATGAGAGAGCAGCAAACATTTCTAAACTGTTGAGGTATACCTCCATCCCCCTGCAGTGTTTTGAAAAGAACAATTCTGTAACATTTAATATATTACAGTATTTTACAACCACCATCTATCTAGTTCCAGAACATTTCTTTTGTGTGAGTGTGTGTGTGTGTTTCGAGACAGGGCTTCTCTGTGTAGTTTTGGTGCCTGTCCTGGATCTCTCTCTGTAGACCAGGCTGGCCTCGAACTCACAGAGGTCCATCTGGCTTTGCCTCCCGAGTGCTGGGATTAAAGACGTGCACCACCACCGCCCGGCCATTTCTTTCATTCTTTCTTTTTTATTTATTTTTTTATTACTTATATAGTGTTCTGCCTGCATGCCATAAGAGGGCACCAGATCTCATTATAAATGGCTATGAGTCACCATGTGGTTGCTGGGAATTGAACTCAAGACCTCTGAATGAACAGCCAGTACTCTCAACCTCTGAGCCAACTCCCCAGTCCCTCCAAAACATTTCTCAAGTGACTTTTAAAGGTGATAACATCCTGCAGTGCCCTTGGCAATGATTATCTCTTATAATTGTATGTATTCGATTGACCCTATCTCTATCCCTTACTCCCCATCTCTTTCCAACAGAGCCCGAAAGAGCATACCTGATACCTATGCAGAGCATCTCATTGCCAGTGGACTCATGACCCAGGAGGAGGTTTCTGACATAAAAACCTCCTACTATACCAAGTTAAATGACCACTTAACCAACATGGCCCACTACAGTCCCCCTGCCACTAACCTGCAGGCCCACTGGCAGGGCCTGGTGCAGCCAGAAGCATGCATCACCACCTGGAACACAGGTGTGCCTCTAGAGCTCCTTCGGTTTATTGGTGTGAAGTCCGTGGAGGTTCCAGAGGAACTCCAATTGCACAGCCACCTTCTCAAGATGTATGTTCAGGTGGGAAGCCTTGACTTTGTGCACTGGTGTTTTGCCTACATATATGTGTGTGAGGATGTCAGATCCACTGGAACTGGAGTTAAAGACAGTTGTGAGCTACCATGTGAGTGCTGGAAATTGAACCTGGGTCCTCTGGAAGAATAGCTAGTGTTCTTAACCTCTGAGCCATCTCTTTTACCCTATTTTAGAGAACTCTTACAAACAAAATGCACTCATCATCTGGCTTAAATAGAAAATTTGGGCCTGGAGAGATGATCTAGCAGTTAAGAGCACTGGCTGTTTCCTCCTAGGATCTTGGTTCAGCTCCCAGTATCTATATGGTAGCTACTGTCTGTAGCTCCAGGTCAGGGGTCTGACCCCTGTTCTAGTCTCTGTGGGCATCAGGCACGCACCTGGTATACATACATACATGTAAGCAAAATACTTATACATGTAAAATAAAATAAAAATAGATAAATCTTTAAAAAAAAAGAACATCATGAGTAAATTTTCCTCTCTGCTTCCATCTCTTCAAACCACATCAGAGGTGACCACTACCTGAGTCATGCTTATTTTGCCTGTTTTAAAACTGTGTATAACACATGGAGTATTTTCCTACCAGATATAAAGCCCTGGGTTCAGACCCCAATGCTGAAGAAAAAAAAAAGATGCAAAAGGATGTGGGTTTTTTTAGAAATTATTTTTAAAAATAGATTTATTCATTTTATTTTATGTGTGTGAGTATTTTGCCTGCATATATGCATATGTGTTACCTTTATGTTTGGCACCTGTGGAGGTCAGATGAGGATATCAGATCCCCTGGGATTGGAATTACAGATGGATGCTGGGAATTGAACCTGGGTCCTCTGCAAGAGCAAGAAGTATTCTTAACTGCTGAGCCATCTCTCCAGTCCTCAATATATGGATTCTTTTTTTTTTTTTTTTTGAGACATGGTTTCTTTGTGTAACAGCCCTGGCTGTCCTGGAACTCACTCTGTAGATCAGGCTGGCCTGGAACATGCAGAGATCCACCTGCCTCTGCCTCCTGAGTGCTGAAATTAAAGGTTTGCGCCACCACTGCCAGACAGGATATGGATTCTTAAGAGTTTGTTTCCTTCTCTTCCTTTCTGTTTTTTTTTTTTTTTTTTTTTTTTTTTTTTTTTTTTTTTTTTCCAGTCAAGAATGGAGAAAGTGAAGAGTGGAACAAATTTAGACTGGGCCACAGCAGAAACCCTTGCCTTGGGCTCCTTACTTGCTCAAGGTAAGACATTTCTGTTTAGCTGCACAGCTGGTAGGAAATGCTCTGAGCTACATTTGTTATACATGATCTTCTGAGTTTCAATGGCCACTTGTCACATTCATTGATTCAAGGGTTTCTAAAATATCTTACCTAACAATATTTCTTAGTTATAAGGCATGTTGAGCATTTTTATTAGCATATAGACAAAGTTGCAGCCATAACAGGGATATACAGGACTCACTTCTGGATGTACTGGAATGATGTTTCTCTAAAAATTGACTCTCCATTCTTACAAATATTACATTGACAATATACCTTCTAAAATAGGAAAGATAAATACATATACTCATATAAAGACATACTGCTTTTCATTATGTGTACTTGTGTGTCTGCATATGGCTATCTGTGTATCCTAGTGCCCAAGGAGGTCAGAGTCTTCACACCCCTCTTTAGCTGGAATTATAGGTAGCTGTAAGCAGCTTTATATGGGTGCTGGGAACTGAACTCAGAAGAGTAGCAAGTGCTCTCGACCAGTGAGTGAGCCATCTCTCCAGCATCAGGAAAGATATGTTTTTAATAGGGAGAATCTATTATCCTAAGGAAAATTCATATTCTAAGGAATGAGCCAGTGTGTAATATTAGATAGCTGTGTGAGACAGTATATATCTATAGCCAAGTTCCAAGGGAGACTGAGCCCAGGAGTCCAAGACCAGTGTAGACAACATTGAGAGATTTGTCTCAAAACAAAAAGGACTCCAGGGCTACCATGTCTTATTTTTGTGCTGGTTATTCATGGCAATCTTTTTTCTTCCCCCACTTGCTTGCTTCAGGTTTCAACGTTCGTCTGAGTGGTCAAGACGTTGGCCGTGGAACTTTTAGTCAAAGGCATGCAATGGTGGTTTGCCAGAACACAGACGATGCCTACATTCCTCTGAACCATATGGACCCCAATCAGAAGGGCTTTCTGGAGGTAAGACATTTATATATAAGGTCCATATATCGGTGTGCCAACTGTTACAGTTATAACATTTGATTTGATTGTGTTTTTGAGACAAAGTTTCACATAGCCCAGGCTATCCTCTAATTCCCCAGTAGCTGAGGGTGACCTTGAATTCCTCTTGATTCTTCTGACTGTCCCTCAAGTGCTAGGGGTTATAGATGTGCACTGTCACACTCAGCAGTTAGGGGGTTCTTAAAGCAGTTAGGTTCTTAAAGCAACTAAATTCAGATGTCAGAAACTTTATGTTCAATACTTGAGGCAGTGGAGGTCTGTAAATTTGGAATGGAAGAAACAAATGAGAGCCATGTTGGAGCTGGCACTTGAGGACTAGAGCAATTACCCTGGCTGCCTACCTGTAATTATGTAATGTCACCTAGGTGTGAATTCTGTCCAGTTAAAATCAACATTGCAGTCTGATTTATTAAACTTAGTCAAAGTTGTGGACAGTAAGCCAACCTTTCTAGCCTGCTAAGACAAAACAGAATACAACAGAAACACTTCCTCCAGGTTATCTTGCTCTCTAAAGTTTAACAGGCATTTCTTTGGATTTTATAGATCTTAAGAATAGGGTCTTTTCATTTTTGTTTCTTCAACAATCACTTTAGTGAACAGCACATGATTTTTTTTTTTTTTTTTTGAGACAGGGTTTCTCCGTGCAGTTTTGGTGCTTGTCCTGGATCTCGCTCTGTAGACCAGGCTGGCCTCGAATTCACAGAGCTCTGCCTGCCTCTGCCTCCTGGGTGCTGGGATTAAAGGCATAAGCCACCGCTACCCGGCTAGCACATGATATTTATGAAAACAAATTATTCCTTTAAGGTAAACTTAATAACTTGTTGCCTTCCTTCCTGTTCCATTTGTTGGTTTGAGAATATAACCTGTGTGTTTGGTGGGGCTGGGAGATAGCTCAGTCAATAAAGTTCTTCCTATGCAGATATGAGTTCAGTCCCCAGCACCTGGTAAAAAACCAGGTATGGCAATCCCAGCACTACGGAGGTAAAGATAGAAGGATCTGAGCCTTACTTGCCAGCCAGTCCTGCAGAATCTGTGAGCTTCAGGTCCAGTGAGATAATCTAACTCCAAAAATAAGGTGGAAAGTGGTGAAGGAAGGTGTGGGATTTCAAGGTCCTCCTCTTTTCACGCATGCTTCCAAGGTGACTTGAAGGAGATGCATCCCTTTATTTTTCTAAAATCTGTCTTTGTGTCAAATCAGATTTATGAGCCAGGGTAGAAGTGTGTAGTGTCCACCCCACCTCATATTAGGCTTTCACTGAACTATGATTTGTCATTTAGTATCACTTATGATACATTGCGGGGCCATGGCTCAAGCCACAGCTCCTGTTTAATCAGGTAGTGGTGAGGGTGAGGTAGGGTGCTCCCTCATTAGATGCTAAGTACATTTTTGACGTATATTTTAAACCTTTATTTGTTTGTGTATGAGTGCTTTGCCTGCATGTATGTCTGTGTGCCATTTGTGTGCCTGGCACCTGAGGAGGCTGGAAGAGGATATTGGCTCCCCTGGAACTGGAATTACAGGCAATTGTGAGCCACCATGTGGGTGCTAGGAAATGAACCCAGGTCCTCTGGAAGAACAGCCAGTGCTCTTAACCACTGAGCTATGTTTCTAGCCCAGTTGGCTTACACTATTTTCAAACCAATAAACTGAGTTTACTGGAACATGACCCCATCACAAGTCACAGAGCAACTGTACTTACTTAGAGGGTAGATAGAAGTAAAAGAGTTGAAGACAAGTCGATGAAGTCACTTTCTAGAAGTTTGAAAAGAGGCAACAAACAAACAAACAAACAAAACAATGGCTGAGGGAGCTCAGGTCAGTTCTTTTTGTTTTATTTTTAAGCATTTGATGGCCTCTTTGGTGACATAAAGTTCAGAAAGGAAGGAACAGAAGAAAGAAGGGATGGATTGAGAGTGGGCATGTCAATCTTGGATAAGAATAGAGGCAAGGAGGAAGTGAGAGCAGAGAGATACATGCAACATGCCCGGGTTAAAATGCATTTATAACACACATCAACCTGAGACCTGAAGTCAGAACGGATGTCTAAAGGAGTAATTTAAGCATGATTCCACTCACCATGCTAGAAAATAATCCACTGACATTTTTATGTTTGTCATTTAGTTCTTATCTATATAAATCACATTTTATAGCTGTAATTAAAAATTATATAATTCCTGCACATATGTGTGTGTGTGTGTGTGTGTGTGTGTGTGTGTGTGTGTGTGTGTGTGTGTGTGTGGTCAGAGGACAACTTTCAGGAGTTGGTTCTCTCATCTTCTGGTTTCCAGGGATTTAACTCAGGTTCTAAGGCTTAGTGATACCTTTTCAGCCATCTTGCTATCCCCTAAGTAGCCCCCTTCCCTCCTTTTTCTCATTTTTTTTTAAAGTGGTGGTGCTGGGGATTGAACCCAGGACCTTATGAATGCTAGGCAAGTACTCTACCACTGTACCATTTCCTAGCCCTGTACTACTTATTCTTGAAGAAAATCCTGAATGACTGTATTCCAATGTCTTCTCTTTTCCTCTCTTTGTCCTAACTTTCTCCAAATGCGCCAGTGACACTAAGCAGTGGGTCTCCTTTTGCAAAGAAATGAGGTGATGAGTGAGAGCAAAGCCCCCTCCCATGCCCCTCCTCCTCTTGAGAGGTTTGTGTCCTTGTGGGGCTTCACTTTTGCCAGCTTCTCTCAGGTCTCTCATGCACATCAGCGTCTGATTCTCTTCTTTGCTGTTAGGTTAGCAACAGCCCCCTGTCAGAAGAGGCTGTCCTGGGATTTGAATATGGAATGAGCATTGAAAGCCCAAAGTTGCTGCCCCTCTGGGAAGCTCAGTTTGGCGATTTCTTCAATGGTGCCCAGATCATCTTTGACACATTCATCTCTGGAGGTTGGTGTGAGTGAGTGGCTGGGTGGTGAGTGGTTCCAATCTCATATCATAATAAGTGGAAAAGGGCCATCACTGCCTCTGAGATTCTGTCTCGCAGCATCTCCAGAGAGTTTGGAGAATCAACCTATTCTCTTTAGGCACGTGGCAGCCTTCAGGCAGTCTAATGAGCTTCTGGGAAGTGTGTCTTAGCTTTCTGTCAGCATTTCATTGTCCCCCATCTCCTAAGAAATGTGTCTAGCTGCAGGGAGCACAGATGTACCTGGCAGCGCCTAGGCTGTGTGGTTCTGCGCCTGTTCCTGGAGTGTTGAGTAGCATAATGAGCCAGCATTCTGTGGTGACACAGCGACACTTTATGGTTGGGATTGATCACTCCCTTGAAAATTTGAAATTTTTTAGAAGGAAGAAGAATGCTTGAGGAGACTGGATTTTGACATGTCCAGAAACTATTTGTGTGTGTCTTCATGTGTGTGCTGGTGTCCACGCATGTGTATGTAGTAACATATGGAGGTCAGAGATCAACCTCAGGTGTTATTTTTCAGGAGCTGTCCACCTTGTTTTTTGAGACAGAGTCTCTAACTGGGACCTGGGACTCACCAGTTAAGCTTCAGGGAGCCACCTCTCTGCTTCCCTAGCACCAGGATTACAAGTGTGCACCATGCCTGACTTTTTATGTGAGTGCTGGGGATTGAACTCAGGTCCTCGTTCTCACACAGCAAGTATTTTATAAACTGAGCTGTCTTCCCTGCCCCCAGAGACTGTCCTCAAATGTCCACTGCTCTCCATTTGAGGACAGTGGCCAATGTTGTCTGTTGTGCTATGAACATGGCAGGAGTGGCTTGTCTTTGCGAAGAGTTGTTGTATAGTGAAATCAGAGTGCCACATGTTGTCTGAGGCACTGGGACATTCACCATTGAAATGGTCTTCCGGTGATTAAAGCCTGAAGCATGTGATGGATGGGCATGTCCACTTAAGTACAGTAGAACAGTGCTAGAAGATGTGTGTAATTTGTTCTGCGTCACAGAGAATCCCTGTCTTGTGTGTTCCCAGGAGAGGCCAAGTGGCTCCTGCAGAGTGGCATTGTCATTCTGCTTCCACATGGCTATGACGGGGCTGGACCTGACCACTCGTCTTGTCGGATCGAGCGCTTCTTGCAGGTATGTAGAGTGCACTGAGTTCTAACAAATGTTCTCCTGTTTCCGGTGCTTTGCCCTTCCCTAGACTACCTCCTGTAGATAGATAGCTTCATGTGCACTCTAACTGTAAGATGCTGTAGTTAAGTGCAACCAACTCAGTACAATGTGACTGTTCCTTGGAAGCGTAATGCCTTGGCTTTTATAATATCACAGTTCTGTGGAAAATAAAATGGTTTCTGGAGTCAAGCATGGTTGTGCATGCCTGTGATTTGAGTTCTCAGGAGACTGAGGAAGAATGATTTCCTTCAGTTTTAGACTAGCCTGGGGCTATATAGGAAGATACAGTCTCAATAAAACAAATGAACAAACAAACAAATAAATTGGGGATAGGTGGCAGGTTAGAGAAATAGCTTAGTAAAATACTTGCTGCTCTAGCACAAGGACCTGAATTTGATCTCCAGCATCTACATTTAAAAGCCGGGCTTGGGGGTGGGGGCCGGGGGTGGGGTGGGGTGGTGGCAGCCAGGCTTTTTTTCTTTTTTCTTTTTTTGTTTTTTTGAGACAGGATTTCTCAGTGAAGTTCTGGTTGTCCTGGGACTCCCTTTGTAGACCAGGCTGGCCTTGAACTCACAGAGATCCACCTGCTTCTACCTCTTGAGTGCTGGGGTTAAAGGTGTGCACCACCACCACCACCTGCCCAGTGAAAGCAGGCTTGTGCTAACAGAGTAGGCGAGGCAGGAGACAGGAGGACCCCTGGTGCTCACTGCCAGCCAGCCTAGCCCAATCAGGATGTTGCAGGCCAAGTGAAACCTTATTTCAGAAAACAAGGTAGGTGGCACTTGAGGAAAGATCCTCGAGGTTTACCTTTGTCCTACTTAGGCTTACACACATGTATGCACACCCCCACACACATGCTCACCCACATGAAAACACACACATTCACAGGTACAGAATGATTCCAGGCTGGAGTTGTAGCTCTGTGATAGAGTACTTACCTAGCGTGTGAGTGGCCCTGAGTTCCATTCCTAGCACCAGCCACATGTTTGGGGGTCGTGGAGGGGGAGAGGATCAGGAGGAATCCTCCCAATTCTGGGAAAGTAGAGACTGGTTGGAGCCCTGAAGGTCACCGGCCAGCTAGCCTAGCCCAAGTGGTGAGATCCAGGTTCCGTGAGAAACTTGATTTCAAAAATAAGCTAGAAAGATGAAAAATAGTGATCAGAAAGGGGAATGCACAAAATGGAGCTTATGGAGAAAATCCTGTTGATTATTTCAAAGATCTTGTGCCATAATCTGTATGTGTTTTCCTTAAATTCATTCACTGAATTATACCCCTCATCCAAAACCAGGAGATGGAATTAGGAGGTGAGGCCTGTGATAAGTGATGAAGTTCTAAAGATAAAGTTCTTAGGGTTGGGAATGTGCTAAAGAGCTCCCTAGCTGCATTCTAGCTCTTCACACCATGTAAGGACACGTGAGAAGACACCATGTCAGGAAATGGGCCCTGATCTGACACTAGGTTTACTCCATGATCTTGGACTCTCCAGCCTCCATAAATGTGAGAAATACATTTATGTTGTTCCTAAGTAATCTGGACTTAGCCACGAATGGTCGAACATACCTATAACCCAACGCTTGGGAGGTAGAGGCAGGAGGATTAGGAGTTCAAAGCCATCTGACTATATAGTAAATATATAGTATATTTATAGTAAATATATATATATATATATATATATATATATATATATATATATATATATATATATATATATATATATATAATACATCTGAGGGTTACATGAAAGACTGTCTTAAACCGTAACATAAAAAGTTACCCAGTTTCTTGGCACTGAGCCTGTGGGAGTCATTCTCATTCAAACCACCACAGACTATTGGCCCTATATTCAGTGACTAGTAGTGGTCCATGCCCTGTAGCAACAACTAGCATTGATAACAAGGGAGCAAAGGCCAGTGTTACAGCTTTTTTTTTTTAAGATGTATTTATTTTTATTTTATGTGTATGGGTGTTTTGCCTGCATGTATGTCTGTGAACCACTGCGTGCATTGCCCACAGAGGCTAGGAAAGGACATTGTATCCCTTGGAAATGTAATTACAGATAGTTGTGAGCTACCCTGTGGTTGCTGACAGTTGAACCTGGGCCCTCTGGAAGAGCAGCCAGTGTTCTTAACTACTGAGACATATTGACGTATCTCCAGCCCCATTCCCCAGTGTTATGGCTTTTAAGCTTTGAGTGTCAAGAACTTCATCCCTGAGGATTTGACAGCTCCTTTCTTATAATACTTGAAAATTGTAGGTATGAGTGTTGGCACATGCCTTTGATGCCAGCATTCAGGGAGGCAGAGGAAGGCACATTAGAGGCTAGCCAGGGTCCACAGCCAGGACAGCCAGGGCTACTCAGTGAAAAACAAACCAGTTGACTCTGGGTTTTTGCTGTTTATTTTTATTGCTATCATTTCATCTACCGTCACTATGGTTATCTCAAGTCCTTTGTTTATATTTTTAATTTTATTTTCAGCCTTGCAAAAAGATTCACGTATGTAAATGACTTAGAAGAGTCTTTGCTGCTCATATAAATGTCTGCTTATTTCTTCTGCTTTCATTGTTATGCCAAGCTCTGTGTCATTTATATTTTCAGCCTTGTCTGTTCTTGACATTGTTTTAACTTCATTTTATGTATATGAGTGTTGCCTGCATATATGTATGTGCACCATGTGCATGCTTAGTGTCATGGAAGCCAGAAGAGGGCAACAGAGCCCCTGAAATGGAGTTACAGATGGTTGGTAGGTGCCATATATGTGCTGGAAACTGAACCCAGGTCCTCTGCAGGAAGAGCAAATGCTCTTAACCACCAAAGCACCTCGCCAGTACTTGTTCTTGTTACTTCTTCTTTAGTTAATACCTCAGTTTCAGAGTAGAGTTCTCACTTTGTTTTCTTCGTTTTATGCTCTTCATTGTTGTCTGACTTTGTTCTGTTCTCTTTGAAACTCTCTGTCCTGGGCAGGGATGTAGCTCAGCAGGTAGAGTGCTTGCCCATCATGCTTTGGAGCCCTGGGTTCAGTCTCTGTGCTGAACAAAACCAGGCATGGTTGCATGGCACATGCCTGTGATCCCAGTACTTGGGAAGCGGAAGCAGGAAAGTTACACATTCAAGATCCTCCTCAGGTATGAGTGATTTTGAGGCTAGCCTGAGCTATATGAGACTCTGTCTCATCCTTCCCGAAACAAAACAACAAAAACTCCTCAAATTCTGCCCTTGGCCTGCTGTGTTCCTTTTCTTTTTTCCTTTCCTTCCCTTTCCGTTCCTTTTCCTTTCTCTTCTTTTCTTCCTCCTTCTTACAGTTATTTGGCTACATGGTATTTATGTTATCCTTATGTTATTTCATTTCATCTTGTCTTGGTTGTGTAGCCCTCTTCAAAGACCTTCTCTGTTTTCCAATCCACATTAGTGAACCTCTATATATCCTGAACAGTGGGTACAATATATTCTCTTAGAACAATAATTGAGGACAGGCTCCAGAATTTGGGTCCTGAGGATGTAGCTGGGAAAGAACTCTTTGGACTGGGTGTTCCTCTGAGATTCAGTAATTGCCTACAAACATCCACCTTCCCTGCGGGGATGGATGTCACTTCCATTAGGCTCTGTAGGGGCTTCCTATTAGGGAGGATTGTGCCTTTGACTTTTCCCAGAGTGATCCTTACTGCCTTTCTTCTGAGATACTAGGGTTTTTTTCAATCCCATTTCCATTCCCACACTGCTTCTAAATTAGGGTTGGGGCCAGCAGGATCTCCTGAGGTTATTCTTTTGCTCTCAACTTTTAAACATGCATCTTAATTTTTTTTTTGGGGGGGGCAAACTCTTGTAGTCAAGGCTGACCTTGAAATCCCAGCCTTCCAGTCTCCCTCCAGCCCTCTTCTTCTAATTCCTGGGATTTCACACCTGACTCAATCTGCATTTGTTTGTTCTTTTGTCTTGAAATGTGCACACTACAATTTTATTTCACCAAGAGAATGAAATTCTGATGGTGTTCCCTCTTACCGTCTTAATCTAACAGTAACTAGAAGATTGGGGGTGGAGGCAGAAAGATTTTGTTTTGTTTTCGAGACAGGGTTTCTCTGTGTGGTCCTGGATGACCTGGAACTTGCTCTGAGACCAGGCTGGCCTCGAACTCAGAGATCCTCCTGCCTCCGCCTGGGATTAAAGGCATGCGCCAACACCACCTGGCATCATGATATTTTAATATAGGCTTAAACACAGGCATTAAGAGAAGGGGAGAGGCACTCAGAAGAAAGTAAGACGCACCAGAGAACAAGTGTGCCAAATAACTATTGCTTTTAACTTCATACAGGGGAGGGAAAAGGATAGAAGCACAACATGCAAAGGACAGAGAATCCAATTTTTTAGGTTTTCATGTGGCTTGGGCTAGCAGCGAACTCAGTTGTTGCTGAGGATGACTGTGGACATCTGACTCTTTGGCCTCTACCTTCCAAACCCATGTGTGGGTACTGACTGCTCAAGAGAAAGTCGCCAGAATATGTTTTTTAAAAACTCTTTCCCAGATGCCTTTTTCAAACAGCCTTGTCTGGAAGTAGCTGTTTTAGACATGAGTGGATGGAGTCAACCCTCTGCCTCTTATTTAGTTAATACTTTATGGGTCAGGGAAAATGCCTTCTAATACCTTTCTATTACGTAATGGGGACAACTACCTTTATTGCCCGAGAATATGTGCTTCCCCTTAGCCAGTGGGGTGTTTGGGACTAAAGTAGATGATCTCAGTGCGCCTGTGTTCTCTTCCCATCGCCCTCCTAGATGTGTGACAGTGCAGAAGAAGGGGTGGACAGTGACACTGTGAACATGTTCGTGGTCCACCCAACTACTCCTGCTCAGTATTTCCACTTGCTCAGAAGACAGATGGTCCGGAACTTCAGAAAACCTCTCATCGTGGCTTCTCCCAAGATGTTACTCAGGTACCCTGTAAGTAGAAAGAGCTCTCTCCTAGGCTTTTTTCCTTCCTCCCTTTTTGTATTCTATTTTCTCTATGTTCTGTATTTAACCATATTTATTTTGTTTAAGTTTTATTTGCTCTGTGTGTGTGTGTGTGTGTGTGTGTGTGTGTGTGTGTGTGTGTGTGCGCGCGCGCGCGCGCGCGCGCGCGCGCGCGCGCTATGTATATGCAGGGACCCTCAGAAGCCACAAGAGGTGTTAGATCCCCTGGAGCTGGACTTAAGGGTGATTGTGAGCCAGTCAGTGTGGGTGCTGGGACCTGAGTTCAGGCCCTCTGGATGAGCAGCAAGTGCTGTTAATCTTCGAGCTATCGCTCAGTCCCAAGAAGCTATTTTGTGGCTTTCTCTGTGATTTCTTTCATCAATATTCTCAGGGGTCTTGAGACATCACAGGAAATTCAAGGAAAGTCATACAATCCTGTTAGGACAGGTTGGGGGTTTTTTGTTTTGTTTTTGTTTTTTGTTGTTGCTGTTTGGTTTTTGGGTGTGTGTGTGTGTATGTTGCTGTTGTTTTATTTTTATTATTATTTTTTTCTGGAAGGGCTCTTCTGATACAGATATTCTGAAACAGAAGTTTCAAGCCAAGTCAAAGTATAAATTACTACAATGGTCAGTTTCTTCTGGGTGCAGAAGCACAGGCAGGAGGATTGCTTGAGTTCAAGACTAGTTTAGTCTTCATAGTGAGTTCCAGGCCATCCTGAGCTGCATAGTGAGACCCTGTCTCAGAAAACAAAACAAAAGAAAACTGTCTTATGGTAGGGACAAGGCAAGCTCTTATCATTTTAATTTGAAGTACACAGAACTGTATCTCGGAGAACACTGTGTTAGTGGGCATGCTTGAGTGCAGTTCTATGCCAGAATTCTGAAACTGTTTTCATACGATCTGCTCTGAGTTACAGCTGTAGCTCTTCTGCATTTGTTGACATGAGTATGGCTGTTTCTCTCCCTCAGGCAGCTGTGTCAACTCTTGAGGAAATGGCCCCAGGAACAGCATTCAAACCTGTCATTGGTGATTCATCAGTAGATCCAAAAAAGTAATTTGATGTTTCTCTGTTTCCTACTCTGGGTATGGGTTTTTAATAAGTGAACAAAATTTCTTATATCATGTTAAAAAATTTTTTTTGTGTGTTGTGTGTATGTATATACATGTAAGGGACTGAATACACTGCCTTACCACGCTAGGCAAGTATTATGCTGCTGAGCTATGTCTCGGCCCCTCTCCTTATAGTCACATGTTAAGGGAGTGTGTATGAATGAATGAACTCTGGGGACAGGTGTCGCAGAAGGAGAACTGCAGGACTCAGCAGATGACTGAACCCAGAAGCAGAGCCCAAGCAACTTTGCTGCAACACATTGAAATCTAGAATCCTCTTTCTTCTGACACAATCCTTAAGGATGTTTCTCTCCACCCCATTACCTCCCTTGTCCCCAATAGCGTGAAAACCCTCATATTCTGCTGTGGCAAACATTTTTATGCCCTGCTGAAGCAAAGAGAATCTTTGGGGACCAAGAAGCATGACTTTGCCATCATTCGAATAGAGGAACTTTGCCCATTCCCGCTGGATTCATTACAACAAGAGATGAACAAATACAAACATGTTAAAGGTAAAGGTTTTTTTTTACCCTTTGCTCTTTGGGGGCCCACCACCCCACTCCCAAATAAGTCACTCGGAGAATTATTCTTTCTTATGAATGCCTGGCCTTAACTTGGCTTATTTCTAGCCAGCTTTTCTTAAATTATCCCATCTCATTTTTGCCTCTGGGTTTTTATCTTTCTCTATTCTATATACCTTTCTTTACTTCTTACTCCGTGGCTTGCTGTGTAGCTGGGTGGCTGGCCCCTGGAGTGCCCCCTCTCCTTCTCCTTTTGCTCCCTGATCTCTCTTCCCAGATTTCTCCTCCTGTTTATTCTCCCTGCCTGCCAGCTCCACCTAGCCTTTCTCTTGCCTAGCTAAGGGCCGTTCAGCTCTTTATTGGACCAATCTGATGTTTTAGACAGGCACAGTCACACAACTTCACAGAGTTAAACAAATGCACATAAAAGAATGCAACACATCTTTGCATCATTAAACAAATGTTCCAGAGCATAAACAAATGTAACACATCTTCAACTAATATTCCACAATACTTGCTCCTGTTAGGGCCCTTTGCTTTTCAGATACCTGAAACCTGTTCACGCTACTTCAGATGGAAAGAGGTAGGGGAAGTGAAAGGTACTAGAAAGTCAAATCTCATGGAATCTGAGGATATGTTTTGAAGTACCTAGGGCCATGTCTCTCTTGGTGTTCCACTCAGTCTGCCTACTGTCATCTAAACATAATTTCTTGAGAATTTGTGGGTCATTAGTGCTGTGCCATCATATGTAATAATTGCAATATAATTGTAAATGATAAAGCACTTTCAGTACTTAGGATTGGAAAATTTGGTATCTGTATGCACCTTATAGAAATTAAGTAATTACAGACCTAAATGTAACTGTAACACTATTAGGGGAAAACCTCTTTGAATTTTGTTAGATGGAAAATTTTCCATTATATCATTAAAAATTGGGCTTGATCAACATGAAAAACTTTCATTGTAAAAATTATTGTAGGGGCTGGAGAGATGGCTCAGTGGTTAAGAGCACTAGATGCTCTTCCAAATTATCTGGCTCAATTCTCAGCACCCACATGGTGGTTAATGACTAACTGTAACTCTAGTTTCAAAGGATCTGACATCTTCTTTTGGCTTCCAAGGGTACTAGGCACACATGTGGTACACAGATATACATGCAGGCAAAACACCCATACCCCACATATATTTAGAATACAAAACACAACCCCCCCTCCCACAAAAAAGAATAAACCAAACTGAGGATACAAAGCAACTGGAACCCTCACTCACCACTGCTGGGATCGAAAGTGGTTGCAACAGCTCTGGAGGATAGTTTCTTGTTATAGAATCCCCAATTTACCATGTAACTCAGAATCCCCACTGCTGGTTTACCTAGAGAATGAAAATAGGTTCACAGGAAAATCTGCATACAGATATTTTTAGCAGCTTTATTTGTTTTATGTTTTTTTCAGCAGCTTTATTTGTAATTGCCTCAAGCTGGGAACAGTCAAACTGTCCTTCAGCTAGGGAATGAATAAACACAGTTCCCCTTAGCAAGAAATATGTGTAATATCATATTCAATAAAACAGGAAGGAGGTGCTGTATGCTGTGCGGGGCCTCAAGAATGCTAAAAGTAAGCAGGCTAGCACTGAGCCTCAGGAATGAACTGTTGCTATCCACAAGAACTTGGTAATTCACGTCAGACCCCAAGGCTGCACACTGTCTGACTCCGTTTCTATGGTGTTTTGGTAAAGGTGAAAGTGCCCAGTAGACAGAGAAGACTGATTGTTGCTGACATTTGGGACTCGGAAGTGTATTGACTGCAAGCAATTGGGATGAGTAGACTGGGGTGAAAGAACTAGTTTGCATCAGGACTGTTCTGGTGTACGTGCCAGAAAAGAAAAGAAAGGAAAAAAGAAAGAAAGAGAAAAGGATGATAACATCAGGAGCTAGAGAGATGGCCCAGGAGTTAGAGTCCTTTCCAGTATCTACATTGGTGGCTCACAACCACCTGTAGCTCCAGCTTCAAGGGACCCAATGTCCTCTTCTGGCCTCCTTGGGCACCTGCTCACATGGCCTACATTTATACAGACATTCATATGTACACATATTAATAAAAAATTTTAAGTTGCTAACATGTTGGAAAAGCATATATTTAATTGAAGTTAAAATCTATTTACCATCCATCCATCCATTCCTCTACCCCACTTCTTGGTATATAAGTTTATATGAGGTGTTGAAAAAATTGTTTCTTTTTGTAGATATCATTTGGAGTCAGGAGGAGCCTCAGAACATGGGTCCATGGTTTTTTGTTTCTCCAAGGTTTGAAAAACAACTGGCCTGCAAGGTGAGTGCCCATTCTTATATTTATATTCATTCATTCATATTCTCTCTCTCTCTCTCTCTCTCTCTCTCTCTCTTTCGTTTCTCTTGGAGTAACAATGTAAGGGTTTCTATTACCAGCTTGCTCATTTATTTAAAGAAAAAGTGAAATTAAAAAACTCTATTTTTAAGATGGTCATGGTGATGCATGCCTGTATTAGAAGGTTGGGGTCACTTGAGTTTATAAGTTTGAGATCAGCTCAGGCAACATAGTCAGATCCTGATACATGCAAGAGGGAGATAAAATAAAAATAAAAATCTAGTTTTAGATTATTCCTTTGGAAGAAAATGTTGAGTTTATGGAGCTGTCTATGTATTCAGATTACAGGGTTGAGTCTCCCTTATCCAGAATGTTCAGAACCAGAAATATTTCAGATATGTGAGTTTTTCAGATTTTGGAGTATTTATGTACATTTTCTAGGCTGAGAAGCCTCAAAAAATTCTAAAATCTGCTGGGCAGTGGTGGCCTTTAATCCCAGCACTCGGGAGGCAGAGCCAGGTGGATCTCTGTGAATTCGAGGCCAGCCTGGTCTACAGAGCGAGATCCAGGACAGGCACCAAAACTACACAAAGAAACCCTGTCTCAAAAAAAAAAAACAAAAAAACAAACAAACAAAAAAATTCCAAAATCTGAAATGCTTCAAAACCCAAGACCTTTTAGGGGCTGAAATGATAATTTCAAAATTCCAGATTTTGGAGAATTTCAGATTTTGGATTAAGGATGCTCAGCCTGTAATATTATGTTAAAATGTGTTTGTATCCCAAAAAACTATGAACCTTGCATGTTGTTACTTTTTCTACTATTTCCTCATCATGTCTCATCCAAGTACCAGAGAAAAATGTTCATGAATGATTTTTTTTTCAGTTTGGTGCCAGAAACATCCAGTTAACACTTTATTGTAGACATGATTATAGTGCTGCTAGACTGTATGTCTTTATTTTCCTCAGGAAAGGAGAACCAATAAGAATAGTTACACCTCTGCTTATCTTTTTATTCTATGTTCATTAGAACGTAGCTCATTCATTTAGTATGAATTTGCTAGGTGGAAATCATTTTCACATGAAATACATCTAGTTAAAGAAACTACAGCTAAGATCAAAAGAGTTTTTTTTTTTTTCACCTTATCATGCCTGGAATTCAGGGTAGATATTTCCCTCTAATCTATTCTCTGTAATTCAATATTTTCTTCTTAGCTTGAACAAGCTAATGGAGAATATATATACCTTTTTGTGGAACTGAGCAGAACTCCGATGCACTCAAAACGTTACTTGATTTCTTCTTTGCTCCAATGACAGCTCCGTCTTGTAAGCCGGCCCCCTTTGCCAGCACCTGCGGTGGGAATTGGCACAGTGCACCAGCAGCAGCATGAAGACACCCTCACCAAGAGCTTCGCTTCATAATGTGCTTTGAGAAAACAGGATTGCCTTTTAAGAAAAATGCTGTGAAGGGAAACCTGCCTCCCCCACCCTTTCTCCTTTCCCCTAGCTAGCATGGAAGTCTGGAGTAATTTGGACAACTGACTTTGGAATAAATGGAATAAGGGGGAAACTGATTTTATAAGTAATGGAACAGATAGTCGATTTTATGCTTTGCAGCACAATAGTGTTTGTTATGCTTTGGTTAGATATGAATGAACTGGAAAAGGTGGTCATTAACCAGATGTATTCAGACTCCACTATAACTGACCAGGGCAAGTTCAGTGTAGAGGCAGTCCCAACACTACCACTTAATTAGTTTAACACATATAACTTTTCCTAATTTCCCCCATTTCAGAGTCCTCTGAACAGCAATATTTTTGTTTTATGTCATCTCTGAGTCACTCTATGAAATGTTCCATCCGACACCAGTAAAATTAGAACATTCCGGATTCATGTTCTTTCAGGTTTTATCCATTATCCTTACAAGTAAATTCTGTTAAATACAGATTTCTGATTGTATGATCTTCTAGCAGTGTTCTGAGACAGTTTCATGTTGTCCAGGCTGTCCTCATACTCACTGTATACCTGAGGATGACCAGCCTTGACCTTCTGATCTTTTTGCCTCTACTTCCTGAGTGCCAAGATTATTTATTTGTTCAGCCATGCCTAGTTAGTGCTGGTGATGAGGAGCAAACCCTGGTCTTCGTGAATGGTAGGGAGCACTCTACCAACTGAGCTACAGCCCTGGCCGCTAATAATTTTTAAATTATGAAGTGTTAGCTGTATTAAAACTGACCTGTGGTTTATTTTACCATTAAGTTCCCCTTCCCCCCAGTTATATTGCTGTGATGTTTTTAACTTCTGATAGGTGGATTTCAGTATCAGGTTAATCACTTTAGTCTCTAAAAGTTCCAGGTACAACTATGATGTATGTCTGTGCTATTAAGTACATTAATTTTTAGCTGCCTTCCCAAAGTCAGGTCTGGGGGTTCCTCAGAGGTCACCAAGTGACCCATTCCATTTGGTGTTAAACCTAATGTTGGGAGCAAATCTAAACAGTAGCTGTGTGGCTTCATTTGAGTTGGTCTTGAGGAGCGTTTACCATGTACTATTCTTGCTTTATGATACTGTGTTTCTAAAAGGTGATGGGGACTATGAAGGGCTGGAATGTATCTGTTTCCTTTCCACTTGTTCCAGCAATGGGCCATGTCTTACATCATTAATGTATAGGCACTTCTAGATTAGTAATAGTTCATAATGTATATCTTTTTCTTGGTTTGTTTTTGAGATAGGTTGTCACTGTGCAGTTCTAGCTGGCCTGGAACTCAGATCTCTCTGCCTTTGCCTTCTGAGTGCTGGGATTAAAGGTGCACACCACCATGCCAGACTACAAGTTACATTTTAAAATAATTCTTTAGTGTACTTATTTAACATTTCTGTAGTATTTGCTTCCCCTTTCTCTCTCTCTCTCTCTCTCTCTCTCTCTCTCTCTCTCTCTCTCTCTCTCTCTCTCTCCTCTCTTTCTTTTCTCTGGATCTGGATCTGGGTATCAGTTCCAGAGCCTTGTGCTTACTAACTCTACCATTGAGCCTTTTCTTTCTTTTTTTATTCCTTAGTCCTTCTTCCTGTGTCACACCTTATAAATCATGTAACTTAGTACTACTTATATAAATCAGTAAAATTTCAAAGGCCTGTTGAATAACAATAATAATGTATATTTAGGTAGAAAAAAAGCATAACATATCTTTATTCTCAGATCTCTTGGTTTCTTAAAAGATTTTAAAACTAATTATAAAATGAGATGGAAGTTAATATATTTAAGAATATTTTTGTCATAGCCAGGCAGTGGTGGCACACTCCTTTAATCCCAGCACTCAGGAGGCAGAGGCAGGCAGATCTCTGAGTTCAAGGCCAGCCTGGTCTACAGAGTGAGTTCCAGGACATTCAGGGATGTTACACAGAGAAACCCTGTCTGAAAAACCAAAAAAGAAAAGGAAAGGAAAGAAAATAAAATAAAATTGTCTTGCTCTTTCTGAATTTCTTCATAACAATTTACCTCACAGGTTTACTATTTCTTGTTATGGTTTTACCTGCATGAGTCATGAGAGTGTCTTCTGTCTCAACCACATTTTGAATTGTTTTGCAGAAGGGACCATTTGAAGAATTCAAATCAAACATACACTACTGTATTTTATTCCTCTTCAAAATGAGGCATTAGTTTCTCATATCTACTACCCATAATTATGCTTGTTTAATGTTCACTGAGGAATAGAACTTAAATTATGTAGTTAATAAGTTAAAATATTAGCAACCATGGGAGAACTGCAATTTTGCTTGAAATGATACATTATTCTTAGTAAAATAAAATTTTCTACCTTATAAAAACCATTTTGTTCAATTTTTCATATACTTCTTCCTGTTTGTGAAAATAACTTCCTTAGTTTGCCTGTATTATCTTGGAAGTTTTACTACTTTAAAAAAGACTTATTTTATTTATGTGATAGAGAATGTGTTCGTGTGTGTGTGTGTGTGTGTGTGTGTGTGTGTGTGTGTGTGTGTGTATGCATGTTAATGCAGGTGCCTGCAGAGGCCACAGCTCCAGATCCCCTATAACTAGAGTTACAGATAGTTGTAAGTAGCCAGATGTGTAGGCTGAGAACTAAGCTTGAATTCTCCATTTTGAAGATTCTTGAAATGGCAATACAAACAGTATTTCTTTTACAAAATGGAAGGAAATGGAGTTGCCCAGGAAAGAAGTCACAGATTATGGATCAATGCTTTTTAGTCTTGACGTTCCAGAAGCTTCTGTACATTTCTCTTGGATATACTTGGATGTCTAATTTTTATCGCAGCTTCTCAGAGAGTTCATTTTACATAAAATATATAACATACCCTGTACAAATAACCCCTTAACAACTCTATCATGTTTTTGTTGACATCTGATAAAACGAAACATAAAACCTACTAATTCCAGCCGGGTGGTGGTGGCTGCATGCCTTTAATTTCAGTACTCGGGAGGCAGAGGCAGGGAGATCTCTTGTGAGTTTGAGGCTAGCCTGGTCTACTGAGCAAGTTCCAGGACAGGCTCCAAAGATACATAGAGGAACCCTGTTGCAAAAAACAAAAACAAAACCCCAAATCTCTACTAATTCCCCTAAATTACAAGATCTGTTAATTTAGAAAACTTTTACTGAACTTTTTTATTTTTAGTATTGCTCACTATCTTCTCTTACTCATATGGACAGCCAGATATAGTGAATGAACAGCAGAATATAAGAAACAACAATTTAAGAGTAAAAAGATATTTCATCAAGAAATATTCTACATATAACATTATTTTTATTTTGCTTTAGGCGGCTTTGGTCCTTGACAAAGTAGCGGTCTGTGGATAAAAATAAATAAATAAATAAAGTGTTTTTTTTTTTTTTTTTTTTTTTTCCTTTTAAGACAGTGCTTCCTAGTGTAACTCTTGGTGCCATGGAACTGGCTATGTAGATCGGGCTGGTCTGATCTGCCTCTGCCTCCTGTGTGCTGGGATTAAAGTGTGTGCCCCCATGCCTGGCAAGAGGGGCTTTTAAAATTTGTTTTGTTATTTTATGTATATGTGTATGTGTGTTTTTGCTGCATGTATGTGTTGCATGTATGTATGTGTATCATGTGCATGACTGGTGACTGCAGAGGTCAGAAGAAAGCTTTGGATCGCCTGGGACTGGAGTTATGGATGGCTGTGAGCTACCATGTGGGTCCTGGGAGCTTTCCTACTGCAGTGATAGAACACTGTGACCGAAAGCAACTTGAGGGGAAAGGGGTTTATTTCAGCATTCAGTTCCTTGTCACAGACGATCATTGAAGGAAGTCAGAAAACTGAACGTGGAGAAACCTGGAGGCAGAAACTGAAGCACAAGCCCTGGAGGAATGCTTCTTCCTCTCCTCCTCCTCCTCCTCCTCCTCCTCTTCTTTTTCTTCTAATTCTTTCATATATCACATCTTGACCACAGTTTCCCCTCCTTCCCCTCCCCCACTCCCCTCCCACACCTCCCTTCTCCCCCAGACCCACCCTCCCTCTGTCGCCCCTCGGAAAAGAACAGGCCTCCCAGGGACATCCACCAAACACACATAATATGCTACTATAAGACCAGGCACGTACCATCACATCAAGGCTGGATGAGGCAACCCAGCAGGAAGGAAAGGGTGGTCACACAAGCCCACGAAAGAGTCGGAGACAGCCCCCTCTCACACTGTTAGGAATCCCACAAGAACACCAAGCTACTCAGACATAACAGACATACAGAGGACCTAGGTCAGACCCCTACAGGCTCCCTGGTCTCTGTGAGCCCCCATGAGTCTCGGTCAATTGATTGGGCTGTGTTCTCTTGGTGTCCCTGACCTCTCCAGTACCTCCAATCATTCCCTCTCCCCTGCAGGATCCCCCAAGCTCTGCCTAATGTTTAGCTGTCAGACTCTGCAACTGCTTCCATCAGTCGCTGGAGGAAGTCTCTGTGGTCTCTTTGAGGAGAAATGCTTCTTAATGGCTTTGTTCTCATGGCTTTCTCAGCCTGCTATCTTACAGTATCCAGGACCGGTGTGCCATTGCCCTCTGTGAGCTGGGACCTCCCACATCAATCATCAATGTAGAAAATGCTGCACAGACTTGCCCTCAGGCTAATCTTATAGATGCATTTTCCCACTTGAGGTTCCTTCTCAAATGACTAGCCAGTGTCAAGTTGATATAAAACTAGCCAGCACAGAACTGAACCCAAGTCCTTGCAAGAGCAGTAAGTGCTCTTAACTGCTGAGCCATCTCTCCAACCCAAGAGATTTCCTGGGTGGATCTGCTAAAACAATTGGAAGACTAAAGGTAGAATGATATTCCGGATAGACAGAGATTTGGTGACATATAGGTCAAGGAAGGTCTGGGTAGCATTTGGGAAGTCCAGAAAGACTGAAGAATAGTGGAGGGGTTAATCTGTGAGATCAACCTATTCCTGGAGTACATGAGATTCTTAAGAAAAAGAGGAGGAGGGACAGGGGTGAGGTGAGGGGAAGAAAAAGAATGACTAACAAAGTAGGGATGAAATCAGGGTGAGTTCAAAGGATGGAGATCACTCAAGGTCTTCCGGCTGTGTCACACCCTCCCCTAGAGATGGTGTCTTTTCTCTCCTCTCCCAGAACTTGAGCAGACCTTCCTGGCTGCCTCCACACACTACAATAACTGAGACACATTTCCAATGGCATCCCTTGGCACTAAGTTACAATGTTGTGAGGAGGCCCAGTACACACTGGGAAGCCAAACGGACTGACGTGCCAATGCTCACAATAAGCACTGATGGCCGGATCTGAGTGAGAGAGCCTTTGCAAATGCAAATATTAATCCTCTGAGTTTCCCCAGCTGGCCACAAACACAGTGAGAAAAACCCTTGCAGGCCCCTGCAAGACAACCCTAATGGTCCCCACCCCCACTCCAGGTGCTTACCTTGTTTCCTTCTTGGTTATAGATCTGAACAGGAGAACACATCTTTGGATTTGACTGATGACTGACTGAGTATAGGATGTCACCTTCGACTTAGCTTGTTACAGCAGACATTAGAACACAGACTTGATTTCGAGGAGTGGTTTAAAGTTTGAGAAAGGAAAATTAATCTAAGGGCCTTCGTGTATACTAGTGTCTCAATTTAAATTTTACACCCGCATAAGGTGGCTGCTGTTGTCCGTATTTTGCCAAAGTAGCTCATCTAGGTTGATTGCCCAAAGACTTTCCTGGAGATTAAAATGTAGGGCTGACTGAATTCTAACACTGTGTTTTTGTTTTTTTTAACCACATGGCTGTCCAAGAAGACACAAATTGGAGAAGCAGGAGGAGCCAGCAGAGGGGTCAAAGAACTGAGTTCAGTGAACTCCTCAATCTCAGAAGGCATAAAACCTTGATGTCTGTACTTTGGAGATGGGGAAAGCACGTCGTAGTAAACTGGAGAGTACTTTTGTAAGCTATTGAATGCACAGTGTGTCACCAATTTTTACAAATCTCTAAGAAGTTACACTTAAGATGGGGCCGAAAGAAAAGGTTGGTTCTGGAAGCTCAGCCCCAGGCCTCAGGAGACCAGCAGGATGCCTGAACTAGGAAACCTAATCTGGGAAAACAGCTCCGAAAAGGAAAACCCTGGGTCCCCAAGGCCTGTCTCTGGGAGGCCATGGAACTGGGTAGGGCAACCAAGACACGCCCACTGTGGCAGCCCCGCCCCTGCCGCCGCGCCAGTGGTGGCCATGGCAACGCGGTGGCCGTCGTCCAACGGCTGGGGCCAGATCTGGGGGCGGGTCTGGGCGGAGCTGAGAGCGCGTGTCACATGACTCGTGGGCGGAGCTTGTGCGGGGACGGACGAAGCGTGTCCCAAGCCTCCGTCGCCTAGGCCAGAGTCGTGAGGAACGGAGCGAAAGCAGCTGCGAGGCCGCCGTTCCTCGCCGGGTGTCCTGAGCCGCCGCCATGGGCAGTGAGTGTGGTGGCGGGAGCGGGGACCTCAGGGTCGCGGGTCCCTCCGGGCTACGGGCCGTGGAGCGGCTTCCCCCTTGGGGTCGTTAGGGGGGCTGAAGATACGCAGGCCTCGCCGGGGTCGCCGCGGATGGCGCGAGCTGGGGGCCTCCGCCAAGGCGCCTCCGGTCAGCGAGGCCTTGCCCGGCGGGTCACGGAGACCCAGAGGTCCCGGTTTGCGTCCCTTAGGCGGCTAGGAGCGTGGATGGCGCGGGGAGGCCATTGGCTGGGGGGCGGGGAGTTAGGACACTCTCCTTAGCTTGGACCACTTGGGATTTTTCTGAATCTTAGGAAGCTCATTTTTTTTTTTTAAATTCCTGAATCACGCTTCCTTGGCGTGTTGCGATGAATGTCTCCCTCATTTTAAAAAAAAAAATGTGATTCATAGCATGTGTTTTAGGGGAGGAAAGGCGTGTGATCGGTAGCTCAGCATTTTCCTTGAAATATTCATCCCAGTCATTCTATGGTGTTCATTGAAAACTGTAAGTTGGTGCGCGCGGTAGGGACGAGGCCTCGTATGGTGGGGATCCATCGAGGGCCCTGCCCCAAACATTCATCCTCATGTGTATTCACGCAAATACTTAACCTAGCAGTTCACACGTTTGTGTGTAAAGGGTTGCCTAACTGAAGGTCCAAGCGATACACCCAATTGGACAACTGGTAGACATTTGGAAAAGGGAATAGATAAAAGACCCTTGGCCTTGAATTACGAATGATAAATGGAATTCTCAGGATAGGCAAAATACATGGCGGCACGCAACAGCATTGTTTGAACCTGAACGCCAGTACAGCGAATCATAAAATGCCAAGAAATCCCGGAGGGTCGCTTGGAAAAGGAATAAGGAGACTCTAGGGAGTTTCCTGA